GACCCAATCATGCTGATTTTCAAACTTGACCTGCGTATTATGAATATTCATCAGTTCTGTAAGTTTCAAGCCAAAGGGTAAAATGGTTTTCCATTTAAGGTGTTATCGGTGCTGCATATATGCTGAAAAAAGAGAAAAAATAGCCTAAATTAACTAAAAATCACCCAATCATGCTGATTTTCAAACTCGACCTGCGTATTATGAATATTCATCAGTTCTGTAAGTTCTCAAGCCAAAAGGTAAAATGGTTTTCCACTTATCATGTTATCGGTGCTGCCTATATGCTGAAAAAAGTGAAAAAACAGCATAAATTCCCTATAAGTGACCTGATCATGCTGATTTTCTAACTTGACCTGCGTATTATGAATATTCATCAGTTCTGTAAGTTTCAAGCCAAAAGAAAAAACAGTTTTCCACTTATCGTGATATCGGTAAAAGTGCACGGCGACGACGGCAACGACGGCGACGGCGACGACAGACGCAGATGATGGCTATATGTACAGACACATCTGTGTCTGTACATAAAAACATGGGATTAAAACAATTGACATTTTATAATATAATTTTATTCTTCCAGGGCGGTACCATCATGGAGACAGGGACTTCACTGATGATGTATCACCGTTGTTCCTAGTGTTAACACCTCAGGGAATAAATATTAACACCGATTGCTATATGAAAAGGAAAAAAATTCTTTATTGCTTAATAAAATAGGAAATATTCCTGTTGGATTTCATTTAGACCCCTAAACAAGTATATAGATATAATCAGTAGTACTTGAAAGATACCTATTGTAACACATTTTGTTACATTCCTTTAAGTAAAGATATCAAAACAGAAAAATATAACATTTTAGTGCATTTTTACAATTTTGCATTTTCATCAACATTCTATTTCAAACATTTTTTTAATCATAAAAAAGGTGCAATATCATTTGGTTACTGTAACAATTAAGACGCTTTAAAATTTTAAAGTAAATGTAAGAAATTGTTTCAGAATTTTTATTTGATAATAAATGATATGATTAATAAATTTTGATTTAAGTTTCTTATTTACAGAAAAGGCATATAAAGATTATAAAGATTAAAAGTTGTGCAAAATTCTAAAGTTGGAATTATCAAAAAATACTTGACATTTACTTAAAAATGCATTTGTTGGCACTATCAAAAATGCATGAATAATTTCTAAGAATGCAAGAACAAATTTTCAGTGAAGCACTTCAATTATGATTTGAACTGCTGATAATATTCTACATGCATTTTTAGTAAAAAAACAAGTGACTGGCAAAGGCACTGCTGTTTTGGCAGTTAACTGTCCTGTTACCTGAATAATGGAAAGTTTGAATATGCACAAGTTGTTATAATATCATATAACATGATCACATTTTAAAAGACAGGAATGCACATGAAAAGTGAACACCAATCAAGCAATGCTTTTTAGGCACGAATAAAAAATTGTCTAGAGTTTTGATTGGTGTTTATGGCATTCAACAGCCTCACTATTCTCCAGCTGATCGACCTCTTTTTCACTGTAACCAGCATCATAGAGTACTTGTCTAGTGTGTTCACCAATATGAGGCTGAGAAGTGGAGGAGGGCATTCCTGGTGTCCGGGACAATCTTGGTGCTGGGATGGGCTCAGATTTTCCATTGGGGCTAGATAAAAATGTCTGTTTGGACTTATTATGTGGATTGGATGCAGCTTCCTCAAGACCAAGCACTGGGGTGACACAAGCATCAGTGCCATCAAATATCTGACACCACTCATCACGGGTTTTTGTTGCAAAAATTTTGGCAATTTTTTCTTTCATTTCATCCCAATCTGAATATTGTTCATTGGAATCTGAACTCAATCCTAGTCCTGAAAGAAAAAAAGTAAACATGTTCACATCTTTAGAAATCTTCCTCAGTGAGAGGAAAATGGCAAATTGAACAGGTAGCACTTTATCAAACAGAATGTGAGAATCAGGAAAAAAACGCCAGAAAGGTATTTTGAATCAATAATCAAATTACTGCTTCAAAACTTTAAAAACCTGCTAGTAAAAAACAACAAAAACTGAGTGCATTTCATGTAGAAAATATAGGTACATGTTGAGCACCAAAATTTATTCTGAAGCATAGTTTGACTTAACAATATTCAAATAAATACCTTCAATAAACTTGGAATAAAATTGAGGCTCTATTGCACCAACAGCCATGTACAGTCCATCTTTGGTTTTATATGTATCATAAAAATGTGCACCGGAGTCCAAAACATTTCCTCCTCTTGGTTTATTCCAAATCCATTGGTTATCTTGTGTCTTCCATAAGAAAGAACCTACAACAAGATATGGAATAAATTATTATTAATATTCTTTAAATAGTGTTGAAATATTCTGTAAGAAAAAAAAAAAAAAAAAAAAACGGGCAAATTTTTTAATCAAAATGTAGTGTTTTGCTATTGAATGCCATATAATAATATGACTTTAATATGACCCTAATATGACCCCTAAAATCATTAACACATCAAAATTTGATTTAAAAAAAAAAAGCATCAAAATGTATGATAAGGCTTATAATGGCAAGGAATGATAATACATTGTAGTTGTCATATAAAAATAAAATCAAAGAACAACATGAAAACACAGTAACAGCATTGAAACATTTAAGGATAAGCTCATGCATGAAGTTAAAAGCAAATAACCTTAATAAGAAACAGAAATTTGTGTTATTGAACTTTTTACAACAATCATTTGCCCCTTGTGCATTTATACTACATGTATTGTATATAGTATTATGGCATAAAAGAGCCCTTGGAAGATACGATGCAAGTGCAAGAGGAAGATGAATTATACTCACTAAGATATGCTGAGCCTTCCACCATATTGGAATCAATGACTTGTCCCAGCCCAGACTTGTTCCTCTCCAGTAGAGCCATTGTGATCCCCAGGGCACAGGTCATGCCACCCCCTGCCATGTCTGCCAGTATGTTGACAGGTGGTGTGGGATTCTGGTCTTTTCTTCCAAGGGTAGAAAGGACACCTGGAATACACGTATGTAACTACTGTATAACTATAATTAAATAAAATATAATTACACAGATTAAGGTCATACCTTAAACATTGGAGTTAGATTATATATGTTCATTTTGGTAATATCTTACCATATTTAAAGGAGATTAAAAACCAACGTTTAAATCTAGTTTTAATTTTGAACCTAGTTTCATTAGACAGCCTAAATCTGGTTTTACTGGCTCAAAAATTTCAATCAAGTTATTATTTAAAACCAGACTCAAAACCAAATTAAATCCAAATTTTAATTAGACTAAAACCAACATGTAGAAAATCACATAAGCCCTTAAGTTCAGTGCAATAACCATAGAGAAATCATGTCAGAATATATATGATATATGTACCTGCTACTGCTAAGTAATTGATGTCATGTCCTGCCATTTGGGCATAAGGTCCACTCTGCCCAAAACCAGTCAATCTAGCATACACAAGGCTTGGATTATCTGCTAACAATATTTTAGGGCCTAGGCCTAGTTTTTCCATAACACCTGAAACATTATGATACAATGATTAACTAGCTTTTATAGAATATAACTAAACAGATACAATGGAAATGCACAATCTGGATGGCTTTTTTATCCATGGGGAAATTTAGTATTTTTCAGAATGGCAAATAATCAAATGTGAAATGAACATACTGTAATCATACTGTACCTGCTCTAAATGGCTCAATCAATACATCTGCTGATTTACAAAGTTTCCTTACTACTGCAACTCCTTCAGTCTTCTTCAAGTTAACAGCAATGGAAAGTTTGCCCCTCCCAAGTTGACTTGCATCTTGTGGAGCTTTGATCTGAAAGAAAAAATCAGACATGTACCATATACAATCTACATCATCAACAGAACAGAGTTACTTGTGAACCATTTCGTTTTCTTTTTAATTAGCTACTGTATTAAGTTGTTGCGCATGAGCAGCTACCCTAGTACTTGCTCTGACTGGCCAGCAAAAAGAGACCAGGTGTTAAGAAACAACATGCAACCCTACAAGAAATTGGGAGTTAGAATTCCACCAAAATTTCAGGGCATAGTCAATGGCAACTCATTCATTTATCACAGAAATTATCATTTGCTAGTATGCACTGTTTGCACTAGTATTATTACCTTAACAAACATGTAGCTGCACAAATGAAATTTAATGATATTTAACAGGGTAAAAATAACCAGTTAAAACAATTTATTCTTTCCACTTCTCCAATACAGTGCATGAGTTGTGCATCTCACTATCTGGTGTGTGACATGCGCTGGGACCCTTACTTGGATGTATAGTAACATGGAAATTATGGTTTACAAATACTCTAGTTTATATATATTAGTATAGATAGTTACCCACCCTGTCCACTCTGATGACTTTAGCTCCAAAGTCTGCTAGTATCATTCCACAGAAGGGGCCTGGTGCCAGACCAGCAAGTTCAATAACTTTTATGCCATTTAAGGCTGTCATCTGCAGTAATAGACACAAAAATATGACACATGGCTGGTATTGTAAGCAACAGTTCAGTCTCACAATAGCTATAGCTACATATACAAGCACAGTCTACAGTGTAATATTTCTGTGATATATGATACTCGTATATACAGTGAAAATTACCCAATAGTAACTATACAGTACATGCATGTATGTACTACTACATGTACTGTACATGTACTACTACTGTAGTATACTGCACTGGTATGATAGGGGTACTGTATACTGCTTGGAAAATAACTGAGACAATGTTACTCCAAGTAATACTACTATTGCTAGTACATGTTTTATGTACCAGTAGCAGCTGTAATACAGTATGATTCTTCGAAGTACATTGTACCGATACATTACATGCAGAATTGCTTCATGTACCAGCTAGGTAATGTACCATCCTCTACTCAGTAGGCCTACCTGTACTGTGATACATACTAAATTTCACTTAAGAAGAAAGGCCTAAGTAGCGTCTGTAATATTACCTTTTTATTTCGTAGAAGGTATATTCAAAATCTTTACAATGCTAAAACACTGGTCTAACTTCGAAGAGAATATTACCACAGCTCAGGTGCAGGGTTCATGTGCTTCTGAACGCGGCCATTTTGTACAGTCACATGATCAGTCTCCTTTTATCCTCGCAGGTGCCTCATTTCCAAATATTCAGTGCGTCATATGAAATTGCGCTTTACTGTTAGCTGACTTCAAATAGCGTCAAAACATGCATTCTTTACATTTAGTTCAGCCATTTGGTCACTTTAACTTGTTCGAGATCTGGAAAAACATTTTTAAAATGAAAGAAATGTTTAAAACAATACAAATTAATCGGCTGTCTCTTTAAGATCCAAATTAAAAAAAATGTTTGCCATGTACATGTACAGTATAGGTAGGCCTATACTAGTATATACATGTATGTATAGAAAATAGAGTCAAGTGTTTTAAAACGATGAGAGCAGACAATAGTTTATTTACAAAACACGTACAGATAGCGTGATCAATTGCGTTTTTAGGAGTGTTCGCGCCAATTATTAGCCCTACATAAAACAGATAAAATAAATANCGCTAACGCTGGTGGTACAATAAAATCAAAGAACAACATGAAAACACAGTAACAGCATTGAAACATTAAAGGATAAGCTCATGCATGAAGTATTAAAAGCAGATAAATAAGAAACAGAAATTTGTGTTATTGAACTTTTTACAACAATCATTTGCCCCTTGTGCATTTATACTACATGTATTGTATATAGTATTGTGGCATAAAAGAGCCACTGGAAGATACGATGCAAGTGCAAGAGGAAGATGAATTATACTCACTAAGATATGCTGAGCCTTCCACCATATTGGAATCAATGACTTGTCCCAGCCCAGACTTGTTCCTCTCCAGTAGTGCCATTGTGATCCCCAGGGCACAGGTCATGCCACCCCCTGCCATGTCTGCAAGTATGTTGACAGGTGGTGTGGGATTCTGGTCTTTTCTTCCAAGGGTAGAGAGGACACCTGGAATACACATATGTAACTACAACTATAATTAAATAAAATATACAGATTAAGGTCATACTTTAAACATTGGAGTCAGATTATATATGCTCATTTTGGTAATATCTTACCATATTTAAACGAGATTAAAAACCAACGTTTAAATCTAGTTTTAATTTTGAACCTACTTTCATTAGACAGCCTAAATCTGGTTTTACTGGCTCAAAAATTTCAATCAAGTTATTATTTAAAACCAGACTCAAAACCAAATTAAATCCAAATTTTAATAAGACTAAAACTAACATGTAGAAAATCACATAAGCCCTTAAGTACAGTGCAATATTCATAGAGAAATCATGTGAGAATATATATGATACAGTATATGTACCTGCTACTGCTAAGTAATTGATGTCATGTCCTGCCATTTGGGCATAAGGTCCACTCTGCCCAAACCCAGTCAATCTAGCATACACAAGGCTTGGATTATCTGCTAACAATATTTTAGGGCCTAGGCCTAGTTTTTCCATAACACCTGAAACATTATGATACAATGATTAACTAGCTTTTATAGAATATAACTAAACAGATACAATGGAAATGCACAATCTGGATGGCTTTTTTATCCATGGGGAAATTTAGTATTTTTCAGAATGGCAAATAATCAAATGTGAAATGAACATACTGTACCTGCTCTAAATGGCTCAATCAATACATCTGCTGATTTACAAAGTTTCCTCACTACTGCAACTCCTTCAGTCTTCTTCAAGTTAACAGCAATGGAAAGTTTGCCCCTCCCAAGTTGACTTGCATCTTGTGGAGCTTTGATCTGAAAGAAAAAATCAGACTGTGCATGTACCATATACAATCTACAGCATCAACAGAACAGAGTTACTTGTAAACCATTTTGTTTTCTTTTTAATTAGCTACTGTATTAAGTTGTTGCACATGAGCAGCTACCCTAGTACATGTACTTGCTCTGACTGGCCAGCAAAAAGAGACCAGGAGTTGAGAAACAACATGCAACCCTACAAGAAATTGGGAGTTAGAATTCCACCAAAATTTCAGGGCACAGTCAATGGCAACTCATTCATTTATCACAGAAATTATCATTTGCTAGTATGCACTGTTTGCACTAGTACTGTTACCTTAACAAACATGTAGCTGCACAAATGAAATTTAATGATATTTAACATGGTAAAATAACCAGTTTAAACAATTTGTTCTTTGCACTTCTCCAATACAGTGCATGAGTTGTGCATCTCACTATCTGGTGTGTGACATGCGCTAGGACCCTTACTTGTATGTATAGTAACATGGAAATTATGGTTAACAAATACTCTAGTATATACATTTCAGTATAGATAGTTACTCACCCTGTCCACTCTGATTACTTTAGCTCCAAAGTCTGCTAGTATCATTCCACAGAAGGGGCCTGGTGCCAGACCAGCAAGTTCAATAACTTTTATGCCATTTAAGGCTGTCATCTGCAGTAATAGACACAAAAATAACTGGTATTGTAAGCAACAGTTCAGTCTCACAATAGCTATAGCTACATATACAAGCACAGTCTACAGTGTAATATTTCTGTGATATATGATACTCGTATATACAATGAAAATTACCCAGTAGTAACTATACATGCATGTATGTACTACTACATGTACTACTGGTACTATAGTATACTGCACTGGTATGATAGCCTATCTGATAGGGTTACTGTATACTGCTTAGAAAATAACTGAGACAATGTTACTCCATGTAATACTACTATTGCTAGTACATGTTTTATGTACCAGTAGCAGCTGTAATACAGTATGACTCTTCGAAGTACATTGTACCGATACATTACATGCAGAATTGCTTCATGTACCAGGTAAATGTACCATCCTCTACTCAGTAGGCCTACCTGTACTGTGATACATACTAAATTTCACTTAAGAAGTAAGGCCTAAGTAGCGTCTGTAATATTACCTTTTTATTTCGTAGAAGGTATATTCAAAATCTTTACAATGCTAAAACACTGGTCTAACTTCGAAGAGAATATTACCACAGCTCAGGTGCAGGGTTCATGTGCTACTGAACGCGGCCATTTTGTACAGTCACATGATCAGTCTCCTTTTATCCTCGCAGGTGCCTCATTTCCAAATATTCAGTGCGTCATATGAAATTGCGCTTTACTGTTAGCTGACTTCAAATAGCGTCAAGCATGCATTCTTTACATTTAGTTCAGCCATTTGGTCACTTTAACTTGTTCGAGATCTGGAAAAACATTTTTAAAATGAAAGAAATGTTTAAAACAATACAAATTAATCGGCTGTCTCTTTAAGATCCAAATTAAAAAAAATGTTTGCCATGTACATGTACAGTATATACTAGTATATACATGTATGTATAGAAAATAGAGTCAAGTGTTTTAAAACGATGAGAGCAAACAATAGTTTATTTACAAAACACGTACAGATAGCGTGATCAATTGCGTTTTTAGGAGCGTTCGCGTCAATTATTAGCCCTATATATAAAACAGATAAAATAAATATAGGCCCTAACGTGAAATATTTAAAATAAGTAGGCCTATAAAATGCACATCCCTCTCCCCTGTTCGATGTCTTTATTCAATTTTAGAAATCATTTTATCTCACGTACAGGGTAATGTCTAGGGAGATTTTCTGATAGCCCTTTAAAGAAAGATGAAAAATACCGATGAATCTGACAGTAAACTACAACGGGATAGGCGTCCATGGCATATTGGTTTCTACTAATAGACTTGTACAAAACCATCACGGTTAGGTTTAGCACATGTACGGACATGTAGCCTACTGTGGTATTTACCATAGCCCAAGTCTAAAGCAAAATCGTAAAAAGTCTGCCCATCAAATGGCTGAGAAATGAGTTTTGAAAAAAAAGCTAGGTGGAAGGTTTTTATCATATAGGAAGGGGATAAAAATGATTTAAATCTTTAAAATATATATAATTTCATACAAGATGGCCCTTTAGTTTTTCTTGTGTTTTAAAAACATGATAAATGTGAACAAAAATTAAAGGACGAGTAAAAAAGAAAATCACATTTTTTTTTCGAAATCAAGGTAGTATTAACCCGACTTAACCCATCTTTTCATAGGTAGTTGTCCCCCCTGTCCCCTCCTCTGTACCATCTGTACCTTCCTTTTGACTAAGACCTCCTTTCAAGTGTCCAAATTTCCTGTTAAGTGATTATAGGCCATAAACCGTTTTTATTTACCTTTTTAAAATATAGTCAAAGATTCACAGAGAACAATAAACATATTTAGGAAGCTATTACGGAAAACACAGGCCCTTATGCAGTAAGTAGCCTGCTATCTACACATGGTTGCTCAACTTTCCCGGATGCAAGCAACAAAACTATCACTTACATCACAACAATGGGAGTGAAAACAAGATAGAATTCCAATCGAAACACATTCATTTCAATTAATTTCTGACTCGTGTCCTGAGATTACACAAGTTATCGACCAAGCAACGTTTAGTATATGCTAAGAAAATTGGACAGTGTCAAGTTGCTCCCCAGTTGCTCTTCAGCACTTCCCTCAGGTCGCAGCGTCTGCATGAGTATGTATATAACCGAGGGCCACTTGAACCGGCTTCACACTACGTATACATTGAGTAGGGGTAAGAGGTTGAAACCCAGGTAAACGTAAATAGATAAATATAGCGGGAAATACCGGCACACTAATAGTAACCAGTCAGGGAAGAGGGTTGGTATCAGCTTCATCGCAACATCGAGTTTATTTTTACCTGGCGATAGCGTCCGATGGTGGTTTTGAAGGTTACCTGATGACGGCAATCCTGACCGATCATAAATCTTGAAAGCCTCGTGTTTAACTCAACCTATCGCTTTGATAAATTATCGAAGATTGATAGTTGCAAGATTCCCATCTACTCACTATTCAAGTTGATTCAGCGGGCATCCTTGATCATTAGTTATCGCAACAGCTGTCTGGAATAGACCTCACGTTCGCCGTATCAATGGACACATCTGCAAGATACTAATGAGCCAAAAGATTGGAAAGTGCTTGGATACATAACATGGTGATATACTTTGCAACGTTTGATTATCAGTTTTGAATTTGATACAAGAATTTGGTGATCGTTATTCACGGGAGGAGAGCTGAAAATATTGGTGATACAGTTAGTTGTACAGAAAGGACGTCCTGTAAAATGAAGCAATCATATTTGCTTTTGGTCGGCTTGTTCGCTGTGTTGTATTTTCAAGGTGAGTGAATCTATGTTTTCCTTCTAGTTCAGCTTCTGTTTCTCTTGTCATGACTAACGACAAATCGATGACAGCAGTTGCTTCGGTTAAGAATGTTTTTCTTTTTACTTTTGATTAATGCCACGGGGTGGGCGGGAACTATCATTCCGTAAATTCGGCTGTAAATTATTCCAGAAATTCTACATGTTTCAATTTGTGAGCCTCCTAAGTGCTCTGCCAACAGTCTTCGACTGTTTGTATTTTGGATTTGTACTCTTTTTTACTGATGAAGGGCGCTGATCATAACTTGACAAGTGACACAGACTTTAACGATAGATTTAGCTCTCTCGAATTTCATATTTACTTTTTATTGCCGATCCTTTGTTTGTTTTGAGTTCATATATAAACAGTGTGCAATACTGGTAAATGTAAACCAAAACACCAAACAACAGCTCAACCGGAATAATACGTGAAAATAAAGCACTTGCGTCGAAAGCTGTTAATTGTTTCCACTTAGGGCGCCGTTGAGAAGGCGGAGTGAAATGTGTTTCTCAGACACAGGGTTTTAATCTACGGAAATTTTACATTTCTGCCCGAGTGAGACTGCCGCAAAAAGTTGCTTTCACTGCTTAATGTGCGTAAACATCAGGAGTAAACACGAGTATTGCAAACTGCAAACAAAAGCATCGCGGGTATTCATACAAACAATTCAGTACCTGCCGCAAACTTATGGGCGACTTACTCTCAAAAGGCCCTCTAAACAAAGTCATATTCGGGGATATAATACTTTCCGTGAAAGCATTGAATTGTTAATAAAATCGCAGCATATCTCGTTCTCTTTCTCCCCACGGTTTCACTGTACAGATTAAGATTTACATGTAATTTAATATTACGTGTTTTATTTCACCGGGGAGACATAAATTCGCCCATATTTGAAACGAGATATTTATCAGATTTCTTGCGCCTGGTCCCTCATTATTGACTGGGAATATTAAGCACAAAGCTCTGTCATGCGAACTATTTGTCATACATTTTTTTTCACAAATGGTATTTATTCACTCTTTGCTGTTTATGAAAACAGGGTAAATATCTAGTATGGATGTTAAGAAATATCGATGGTAGCCATACTGCTGAGTCCCTATCCTGCTGTTATTGATTTGTAGTTAATGGAGCGTGAGTGTCCTGTTCTCTGCTAATGATCTAACAGTAATGGCCCGTAGGAAGCATAATCGGCCTACTCTTATTTGTAATAAAACACAAATAAATTGTTCTTCGTTAGCACGTATCACGCTGTGCGACCAATAAAAACCAGAGAACTGCAAACAACACGCTTGTTAAAAGAATTTCTATATCACGACCGGCTGTCAGAATTTTGACTCACACACTTTTGAAATACTCTGGTTCTAACTTCGTTTTTTTTTTCAAATTCCTCCTTTTCCGCTGCCACGGATTTCCCCCAGTGCCAATATGATTGACTCTCCTGTCAGTCTGTGTTGAAGAATCAGGAAGAGAAAGCTTGGATTCTACATTAAAATTGATTTCCTATATTCCCAGCAATGAAGGGAGCGTCATTCTCTTACGCGGCATTTGATTCTCACAGATATAAATCTAGATAAATTCTCTCTGTAAATTATTTAGATTTTGAACAAAAATATGAATTGAATCGATATGGCCTTGTTCATCTGGTATTGATATAGCCCGGCAAACGGTGTGCCATCCATTTGCAACCATAATATTTATCTTCTGTTACGCTACAGATGGGTCTGTTATTGAATAAGAATTGTACCTTCGTTAACAATTGAAGTACATCATATTCCTCCGGATGTATTCTTCGTGTTATGTGTACTATATTTAATGAATGGCACTAGGTAAATGAAACGTAATGTTAAAGGAGGTAAAGAAATCTCTGCAGAGAAATCGGATCTCACCAGCCTGAACAATGTCATTGTTGTTTTCAATTACTTTATTGAGAGTTTATTAATGGTTCACTACAAACACACGTGTTTCCTACAGAATCTACGTCTCCATACCACTTATTAAGTCCTGGACTTGATTAGTAAAGATTCTTGTTTGCCTTTAATTTATTACAAAAACCCGCTTTTTGGTAAGTGGGGTTTTAGCCGCCTGTATGGTTCATCCATTGGCCAGTCTAGGGGCACAGGGGCCCTTTTCATCACAGTGCTCTGGTTATATGTTCAATATAGCAATAGCTAAAATGCCTAAATACCACGAGGTTTGGCTCTTGTATGATAATAAATGCCTCCTTCTTTTTTACCAGAAATCCTTGACTCACAGGTGGCCAATTCGCCTGTAATTGAAGAGTTGCAAAAAGGTATAAGGCATATGTTATACATGTATATGTGGAGGAGTTATTGGTATCTTGAGATTAGAACATTGAATGCGATATGTCAAGTGATGTATGCCACAATCATGACCATTTGTCCTAACCTTTCTCTCATCTTATAAATAACATGTAGTGGTTTCTGGTAGTAATCAATGGGAAAACATATACATGGTCATTCTACAGTGGGACCGGCCAGGTATTGTCGGAAGATAAACGTTTTACCTTACATCCTGGCTACGAACTGGATAGAATATGCACAACTTACTCATAACTTTTATTGAGCAAAATGGGTGTGAATATATACTTTTATGTATAAAGGTCTAGATTAATTTCTTTTGCCGTAAGTCTTAACCATCTCGTTATGAACAGTTTTCTTTGTTTGTCTGCCCACAAACCCAAACTCGAAAGTCGCTTATAACGAAATGTGCTTGTAAACAAAAAGTTTCTACATTTGATGCCGAAAACTGTAATTGCTCCAGTATTGAGCAACAGTGGCCTGTCCCTATATGGACTGCCATTTAAAGGTACCTAGGAATAGTACAAGTAGTACTGTAAAATGATATTTTAACATGTTCTTAAAAGATTATGTTTACAAACTGTTCTTAGTTGTATCGCACACAGCTTAAGGCATTGCAGGTAAATCCCTTCTCAAATGACCTATGTTTCTTGCAGAAAAGTAGTCCTAGTATAGGTTATGGACCTCAAACGGTTTCCTTGATAATATCTGCCGAAGACAAACATCAAAAGCTGGAGTCACATCGTATAATTTTCAGAAGTGGTTTATTACTTGTGTCTACAAGATAACCCAAACAAGTAGATACCTTTTTGATTTCTCCAAACAAATGGTAAATCATCCCCAATACGTCAGTAGCTCTATCTTTAGATCCCTTCAGGTAAGTGCTCTGCCTTTGTACAGTATGTACAGCATATTACCATTTTCTTCCAATGATATCGGTTGCTATTTCCATGGGAACTTATGTATATAAAATAGCATCTTATCTCGAGAATACTACACCAACCTCTTTTGCAGAATGTGTCTACTTTCTATATACTTATACTCCGGCCACGGAGTTTGTTTTCTAATTGTAGGTAGCAAGTTAGAAAATAACAAATAAAGCATAAATCTAATTTCAAAATCGGACAGTGCATACAATATATGTTGACGATTGACGGTAGGTTTGTTATTATAGAGTGCATTGAAGTCGTAACAGGGCGTTGAGGAAACGAAATGCATTTAATGTCATTTATCACACAAACGATTAATTGATAGCATGATGTGTTCAAAGAGAAACAATGTAACCAATATTCTAAATAGCATTATATTGCTGTAGGAAGTGGAGACCTTGCCTTGAAGAAAAAACAAAGTCGGCGTTCGTGCTAATAATGACCGCGGTTAATGATGCATGGAATGTCATATAATTCCTCCGTTTCCAAATTGGTGTCCAGTTACTGAACAGAATCAGTCTGTTTTGCAGTGATTTTTTAACGTTTTATGCTTAGATGTTTACAGTATACAATATTCTGCCAACATCTTATATACAAAATAATTCGACCTCCATCCCTCATTAGTTAAACAATAAACTTTACTCAGAACTAATCGTAACTGATCCTGATATTTTCAATATTACGCGCGATTGCCTTCAAGCCAATTTGTCGATTTTGTAAAGAACTTGCGCTGTTTTCTTTATTTTCAGTTAATATTTCATACCATCCATTTGTATGGAAATCTTATCTCGACAACAGTTGCTACGATTCACAGCCATCAACCTCAAGAAGAGGAATCGACCACCCAGATTCTATGCTTGAAAATATTCAATATCACCGATTGTCCAAAATAGAAAAAAATTGCAAGGGTCATTGATCCGCAGATTTTCACATTTCTTTAAAGCAATACTGACAATTTATCACTCCTTCCCATGTTATCTTTTAACTTTTATCAGACAAACCCATCCATTGCTTCAGGTTTATACGCCATAGTGTAGCTAGTCTTTTGTTAAGCAGTCGCTAAATCTAATGTCATTTTACATATTCATCTTGGTTTCGTTTCAGTTTTAATGCACAACCTCATGATTTTCGATTCGTCACTTATTTATCAGAACATGTCATCTTAAAAGCCACCAACAAAAATGACATATTTTGTCATTCTTGCTTCTAGTATTCCCGTGAAAGTATTTCTGTGATGCTCTGTCGGACGTGTCACGCACCAGCAGTATCTTCAAAGGTCCTGGATATTCATTGGCAGTTTTCTATATCTCTAGTTCTTTACAACATTTCAGTTGCTTTTTAAATGTGGCAGCTCTCACCAAGATTTTGGATACCTCACATGGTTGCAAAGAGAAAAGTTCCTTCTCATCCACGCTGCCGATCTCGACCAAAACACCCTCCCCCCCCGACCCGTCCGAAAATTTCATAGCGTGTAAACTGAGATAGCTGTTAAATTTAATAATATAAACAAATATACATATATAAACGTTATTTCTATGTTTATTCATCTAGTGCCTTCAAGCCGATTTGCCGATTTTGCATAAGTGAATAATTTCCAGTGACATTTGTTTACAAGTGTTGATTTATTTTGAATCAATCAAGGACTTTAAATAAGTTTGGCAGAAGTGAATCGGGGTTTGATACGGTTTATTTGGACACGACGTGTGTAATGAGCGAGTGTTGATTCAATTAATAAATTTGACAGAGAAATTTTGCTACCAGGCAAATCTGTTGTAACAAGAACGTTCATCAACCATCGATCTGCATACAACTATCTTAACGTCCACTGCGCCCCATGGTGTATCAGTGATAGGTCTGTATAGTCACCAGGGGATATGGTGATCTCGTTTACTCTAGCGATGCTAAATGCAATTAATTTATTACGAATCTGACGTAACTTTCTACACCAATGACCTCTATCATTATGAACATTTGTAAACCATTATGTCAAATTAAAGAGCCGAGCATTCTGGATATAATAGTATTTCGCCTCAACCCAATCTCGGGTTAACGTGCTGGAACTGTGTTTGCATGGAACATGCCTTTCAACCGGCTCTCATTTGATGCCATTCTAACCCAGTTCTAGTCTTAATTATTTTCTGTTGTATAAAGCACACCTCATGATGAATGAAAAATACTTTATATTACCTTCAACGATCTCCCGGGCGAGGTAGAATTGATTAGTTTTTGATTCATGACTGAGTATGATCTTATTAACGGAAATGCTGGTTTTATTTGTAACCATAGAAAAAAAACGTTAGAGACAGATGTCCGGGAAGTTGATACACTAATACAACTAATATGTAAAGCCGTCTTTGAAGTCTCTTCTTTTGCTCATGGAATCGCTTTGGACAGTTCAACAAAAAGCTAAGATTTCAAAAACGAAAAAATGATTAGAAAGAAAAAAAATACATATATATATACAGACTTGACATTTAATATGGAATATTTCAGTTTCGAAGGTATGCGTAGGTAAAAATGCATTCTTTTTTTAAAAAACTCCGATCTCATATACGATATGTGAATGGAGAAGTGTGTAGTCAGGTGTGTCGCTTCCAATTAATTGAATACCAGGTTAGTTGCGCTGCTGCATTATGTAATATGCAGTGATTTAATTGGGTAGTGCTCCTTTGGGCAGGTCAAAGCTTGGCTTTGGCAAAGCATGGTTCTGTNTATATATATATATATATATATATATATATATATATATATATATATATATATATATATATATATATATATAGAATTAATACAGACAGACAGTTGATTGATAAATTGGGGTTTTCAAGCAGAGCAAATAAATTTTTTTGTACTTGTAGAAACTGAGCAGTTTCTTTTTTTTTCCAGAACTGGAAGGCAACCCTGATGCCCGTAGGCTGTACGATGATTTGTTCAAAAAACGAAAGTACAATAAACTCATCCGTCCAGTAGGCAACAACACGGACAAACTGACGGTCAAACTGGGATTGAAGCTGACTCAGCTCATAGATGTGGTACGTGTTGTGAAAATGAAAAAAAAAGAATGATTAATTTTTCTCAAGTGGCAAACATGTAGTTTTACAGTCCGTTTGCTAAAAAATATCCCTTCTCACCTCCTCTTCCATGTTTCCGATAATCTCAATTATAACGAGACAACAGCTCTCTGGTTCAGACTGTGCACGTGATCAAGTGAAAACAGTGAGCCGCCAGCATCACGTATGCTGTGCAAAAATCACATAACTGTGTATACTGGCAGTCGCTTAATCTGTAATTATTTATTCAGGTGAGCATGCAACTGTGTGTTAAGCCAAGTCCGTAGCAGCTCATGATAATCCAGCAACAACATGTTAACTAATGTGGTTTTATAGCAACACATGTATGTGCAGTGCTGCATTCATGATTTCTTAGTTTAATTGATCATTTTAACTATTATCATTGTTGTTTTCAGATTTTTTCTTCATATTGAATTTTTTATGTATTTTGAAATAAGGCGATGGTGTTGGAATTTTGTAATGCAGACAAATCACGAAACATTATCGCTAATCTGAGGGGATAAGTAATGGAACTTCAGAAGCACAGATAATGTTGTTTTCGTCCAAATGCTCCTGATCCATATCTTTTCGATTTAGATTTATATGTAATAAGTTTCTCAAGAAATTGAAGCGCCTCGAATTTCCCGATTAATTGCCCCAAAATTGAATTTTCTAGACCACTGAGGATTGTTTGATAGTTGACCCGTGCTCCATAATTTACAATTACATGTTTGGCTTTGAGAAATCGAGGGGATTGATTTTTTTGCCATAATGAAGTGAAGTGGCTAGGCGCATACCACTGAAAAGCACCTACAAGGCATGTAAGGCGCACAGTGTATGCGTACTAGTACGTTATGAAGTGGTCGTAAATGCCGCCGTATACATTCAATTTGAATATTATATTAAAAGAAAACTATTTTGAATAGTGTTAAAACACACCATAAACAAAACCAGAATGTGATACTAATTAAAACGATATGCCCAAAAACGAAAGATTATCCATCAAAACACTCGGAGGCTTCTATAACTTGTCCCCCTCCTCTAAAGAAAAAAAGAAATTATATTTTAAATTAGATTTTTAATTATGGTACTAGATAAACATTGTTGATAAGGTGTAATATTGTGCACAGACTATATCTCCAAACATGATTTAGCTTATGAATGAGACGTATATACATTTTATTTTAGGATGAAAAAAACCAGATAATGACAGTTAACGTTTGGTTGTTGCACGTAAGTATCTGCTTATTCAGTTGAATAATGCAACCAAGTTATGTCTATATGTTTAGCCTGTGTAAATAAGCTACTGTTTTTGTTATAGGACATTTGAGATACATCGGCGCACTACATAGAGGATAAATAATGGATAAACAGTACACTACTGCTAGTTTAAGACTGTTTGCTGATGTTGAACATTGTATTACTTCCTTTTGCAATTTCGGTTTTGTTTTGGTTCATGTGAATGTTGTAACTGAAATGCTGTGCTTTTATTTGGTAAGACTTAGCTTTGATACTGAATAATTCGTGCCGGTTGCCGTTGCCATGTTTGGTCCAACACTAGTGTGTATGTCACCAGAAAAATCCCATCCTTAATTTTCTGTTAAAATTTTATGACGAATAATTAATGTCGGTGACGTGGAAATACATTGTATGCTGGTCTTCACATAGAGTATATTGCGGGTATATGCAACCTTAGAATTATACGGTATACTCAGGCATTACCAAAATTCATAAAATGGAATTTTTTTATTATTTGAACTGAGGTGTATTTAAAAGTAAATTTTTAAGTGCGAAATTGATTCGATGTCCTTGTCTTTATTACTTTCCTGTTTTAGAACTTCTCCACCTACATGAGTCATTTTTCAGTCTGTAGTCAAATATATGTCCGCTTTGTACTATGCTCCATCTATTGAGAATAACGTAATCAGGATAGCGCTTTTAACCCAGGTATCATGAAAAGCTATTCTTACTGTGTGTACAGTAGTCTAGATCTACCCCAAACGTATTTGTGTTGGGGGTGGGGAGTATTTTGGCCATATTTTGTAAGAGACTTCAAGTGCATGCAGTAACAATTGCCTTAGAATAGTATAGAGAATTACCCTGCAACATTTTAATTAAGATATACCTGCATGGCAACTTATGTCTGTTATATTCAACTTTTTGTGCGCAATGTAGTCTCTGTTGCATGGCAAATATGGTATTCTGATGTCTTTTCTTCGATAATTTGTTAAGAGATTAAGAAACAACCCGAGTTGCAGTACTCTGTGTTCCTTCTTCTACAAATAACCGTAACCTTTTCGTTTCGTACATCAGCGCTGCCATGCGTGAGCAGGCCTGGAAACTGAAATTAGCGACGGTGTGAACCAATTATTTCTTTTCGTTGTGTTGTTTGATTGTTTGACGAGGATTTGTGTCGTCATTGGAATGAAAAATACGCCAGCTAGTTTAGACGAAAAACCTCAGAATACCATACTCGTACGTAATGCATGCGTTTTACTAACATTTCTGCTACCAGGAATGGATAGACAATAATCTAGTATGGGACGAGAGAGACTATGGAGGAATAGACAACCTTTTGGTGCCTTCAAATTATATTTGGCTACCAGATATAGTTCTTTACAACAAGTAAGTAAAAACAGTTCGGTTTGTTTTAGAGGTCCATATTAGATGTTTGCAGTGAGGCCTTTGCTTATATGTTATATAGGCAAAACTGTTCGTACTTGGGGCTGCTCATGGTAAGTTAGCTGTGCTGCTTTTGCTTCTGTGATTGTGTCTGTTGCACAATTTTTTACTCTCAACTAACACACTAGGAGTGAAGCGCATTTTCACTAGTTTTACAACGTTATTGATCAGGAATGGAATGATACCAGTCTGCGCTGGAGACCTACCAAATATGGAGGAGTTCAAAAACTATTCGTGCCTGTTGATGATATTTGGAAACCCGACATTGTGCTGTATAATAAGTGAGTTATAATCACTAGAGCTTTTTCATTCGCTTTCACCTTACAATGCACGTTACAGCAAATAAAAACTGATCACAAAAACACAGGCTGTCATATGATGTTTCTGTTTTACATATATTTATTTGAACACCGTAGCAATTTTACATAATCGCCGTAAAGATGTGTGTAATATTTTACTTGTACAGCTGATTAAAATAAAATTCCTATATCAGTTTTTTCTGAATAATCACCATTTAATTTTCAGTGCGGACGGTAATTACCAGATAACGACAATGACCAAAGCCACANGTATATATATATATATAGAATTAATACAGACAGACAGTTGATTGATAAATTGGGGTTTTCAAGCAGAGCAAATAAATTTTTTTGTACTTGTAGAAACTGAGCAGTTTCTTTTTTTTTTCCAGAACTGGAAGGCAACCCTGATGCCCGTAGGCTGTACGATGATTTGTTCAAAAAACGAAAGTACAATAAACTCATCCGTCCAGTAGGCAACAACACGGACAAACTGACGGTGAAATTGGGATTGAAGCTAACTCAGCTCATAGATGTGGTACGTGTTGTGAAAATGAAAAAAAAAAGAATGATTAATTTTTCTCAAGTGGCAAACATGTAGTTTTACAGTCCGTTTGCTAAAAAATATCCCTTCTCACCTCCTCTTCCATGTTTCCGATAATCTCAATTATAACGAGACAACAGCTCTCTGGTTCAGACTGTGCACGTGATCAAGTGAAAACAGTGAGCCGCCAGCATCACGTATGCTGTGCAAAAATCACATAAGTGTGTATACTGGCAGTCGCTTAATCTGTAATTATTTATTCAGGTGAGCATGCAACTGTGTGTTAAGCCAAGTCCGTAGCAGCTCATGATAATCCAGCAACAACATGTTAACTAATGTGGTTTTATAGCAGCACATGTATGTGCAGTGCTGCATTCATGATTTCTTAGTTTAATTGATCATTTTAACTATTATCATTGTTGTTTTCAGATTTTTTCTTCATATTGAATTTTTTATGTATTTTGAAATAAGGCAATGGTGTTGGAATTTTGTAATGCAGACAAATCACGAAACATTATCGCTAATCTGAGGGGATAAGTAATGGAACTTCAGAAGCACAGATAATGTTGTTTTCGTCCAAATGCTCCTGATCCATATCTTTTCGATTTAGATTTATATGTAATAAGTTTCTCAAGAAATTGAAGCGCCTCGAATTTCCCGATTAATTGCCCCAAAATTGAATTTTCTAGACCACTGAGGATTGTTTGATAGTTGACCCGTGCTCCATAATTTACAATTACATGTTTGGCTTTGAGAAATCGAGGGGATTGATTTTTTTTGCCATAATGAAGTGAAGTGGCTAGGCGCATACCACTGAAAAGCGACTACAAGGCATGTAAGGCGCACAGTGTATGCGTACTAGTACGTTATGAAGTGGTCGTAAATGCCGCCGTATACATTCAATTTGAATATTATATTAAAAGAAAACTATTTTGAATAGTGTTAAAACACACCATAAACAAAACCAGAATGTGATACTAATTAAAACGATATGCCCAAAAACGAAAGATTATCCATCAAAACACTCGGAGGCTTCTATAACTTGTCCCCCTCCTCTAAAGAAAAAAGAAATTATATTTTAAATTAGATTTTTAATTATGGTACTAGATAAACATTGTTGATAAGGTGTAATATTGTGCACAGACTATATCTCCAAACATGATTTAGCTTATGAATGAGACGTATATACATTTTATTTTAGGATGAAAAAAACCAGATAATGACAGTTAACGTTTGGTTGTTGCACGTAAGTATCTGCTTATTCAGTTGAATAATGCAACCAAGTTGTGTCTATATGTTTAGCCTGTGTAAATAAGCTACTGTTTTTGTTATAGGACATTTGAGATACATCGGCGCACTACATAGAGGATAAATAATGGATAAACAGTACACTACTGCTAGTTTAGGACTGTTTGCTGATGTTGAACATTGTATTACTTCCTTTTGCAATTTCGGTTTTGTTTTGGTTCATGTGAATGTTGTAACTGAAATGCTGTGCTCTTATTTGGTAAGACTTGGCTTTGATACTCAACAGTTCGTGCCAGTTGCCGTTGCCATGTTTGGTCCAACACTAGTGTGTATGTCACCAGAAAAATCCCATCCTTAATTTTCTGTTAAAATTTTATGACGAATAATTAATGTCGGTGACGTGGAAATATGCTGGTCTTCACATAGAGTATATTGCGGGTATATGCAACCTTAGAATTATACGCTATACTCAGGCATTACCAAATTTCATAAAATGGAATTATTTTTATTATTTGAACGGAGGTGTAAAAAAAACAAATTTTTTAATGCGAAATTGATTCGATGTCCTTGTCTTTATTACTTTCCTATTTTAGAACTTCTCCACCTACATGAGTCATTTTTCAGTCTGTAGTCAAATATATGCCCGCTTAGTATTATGCTCCATCTTTTGAGAATAACGTAATCAGGATAGCGCTTTTAACCCAGTTATCATGAAAAGCTATTCTTACTGTGTGTACAGTAGTCTAGATCTACCCCAAACGTATTTGTGTTGGGGGTGGGGAGTATTTTGGCCATATTTTGTAAGAGACTTCAAGTGCATGCAGTAACAATTGCCTTAGAATAGTATAGAGAACTACCCTGCAACATTTTAATTCAGATATACCTGCATGGCAACTTATGTCTGTTATATTCAACTTCTTGTGCGCAATGTAGTCTCTGTTGCATGGCAAATATGGTATTCTGATGTCTTTTCTTCGATAATTTGTTAAGAGATTAAGAAACAACCCGAGTTGCAGTACTCTGTGTTCCTTCTTCTACAAATAACCGTAACCTTTTCGTTTCGTACATCAGCGCTGCCATGCGTAAGCAGACCTGTAAACTGAAATTAGCGACGGTGTGAACCAATTATTTCTTTCCGTTATGTTGTTTGATTGTTTGACGAGGATTTGTGTCGTCATTGGTATCAAATGTACGCTAGGTAGTTTAGACGAAAAACGTCAGAATACCATAGGAAAATCTCGTACATAATGCATGCGTTTTACTAACATTTCTGCTACCAGGAATGGATAGACAATAATCTAGTATGGGACGAGAGAGACTATGGAGGAATAGACAACCTTTTGGTGCCTTCTAATTATATTTGGCTACCAGATATAGTTCTTTACAACAAGTAAGTAAAAACAGTTAGGTTTGATTTAGAGGTCCATATTAGATGTTTGCAGTGAGGCCTTTGCTTATATGTAAAATAGGCAGAAATGTTCGTACTTGGAGCTGCTCATGGTAAGTTAGCTGTGCTGCTTTTGCTTCTGTGATTGCGTCTGTTGCACAAGTTTTTTACTCTCAACTAACACACTAGGAGTGAAGCGCATTTTCACTAGTTTTACAACGTTATTGATCAGGAATGGAATGATACCAGTCTGCGCTGGAGACCAACCAAATATGGAGGAGTTCAAAAACTATTCGTGCCTGTTGATGATATTTGGAAACCCGACATTGTGCTGTATAATAAGTGAGTTATAATCACTAGAGCTTTTTCATTCGCTTTCACCTTACAATGCACGTTACAGCAAATAAAAACTGATCACAAAAACACAGGCTGTCATATGATGTTTCTGTTTTACATATATTTATTTCAACACCGTAGAAATTTTACATAATCGCCGTAAAGATGTGTGTAATATTTTACTTGTACAGCTGATTAAAATAAAATTCCTATATCAGTTTTTCTGAATAATCACCATTTAATTTTCAGTGCGGACGGTAATTACCAGATAACGACAATGACCAAAGCCACGGTGTACAGCCATGGGCGTGTCAAATGGGAGCCACCAGCCATCTATAAAAGTTACTGTCCTATAAACGTCGAGTTCTTCCCATTTGATGAACAAAACTGTCATCTGAAATTTAGTTCTTGGACATATGATGGGTTTCAAGTGGATTTAAAACACCGGGAGCATCCTGACATAAAAGACGATGTTCGGGTCGAAAATGGCATTGACGTATCTGCGTACTCAAGAAGCGTTGAGTGGGATTTGATGGACGTACCGTTTTCTAGAAACACTAAATATTATTCATGTTGCCCTGAACCTTATCCATCTATTACCTACAATATAACAATTCGCAGGAAGACTCTCTTCTATACTGTCAATCTGATCATACCCTGTGTGGCCATATCATTCCTCACAGTGTTAACATTTTATCTGCCATCACACAGTGGAGAGAAAATCACACTTTGTATTTCCATTTTGCTGTCTTTGACTGTGTTCTTCTTGCTGTTGGCAGACTTGATTCCCCCGACGTCTCTGGTGATCCCACTAATCGGGAAGTATCTGCTTTTTACGATGATCCTTGTGTCGTTAAGTATCATAGTGACAGTGATGGTTCTGAACGTCCACTTCCGGTCCCCTGCCACTCACAAAATGTCTCCTTGGGTGAAGAAAGTGTTCCTGTCCATCTTGCCTCGTCTACTTCTGATGAGAAGACCAAAACAAGAGAATGAAAAAGGGGTAAAGGAATGCAATTTTTCTATAAGAACAATTTCCATGTAGTCGAATTCAAAACGCATTTTTTCTGCCAGGTTAACGTAACCTGCCAAGATAACGTTGAAACATGTATTTTTTAAAAAATATTGACAATTCGATATCAATATGTTAATGTAATTAGATGGAACCACCTATTAAACCACACTAAATCTTTACACTATAATTTTACAGTGATCCACGTACTATAGAATGTATTCACTTAACTCTAGGATTCTAGCTAAACTTCATCAATACGCACTTATTTATGTATGTAATGCTTTAGGGTGTACATGTATATGAAATAACGCACTCACCAAACTAAGATACCAAAGGCAATAATCTGTAACTTGTGCGTTTTTCCAATGATGCCATAATGTATTTCTGCACAGGCCTCAGTAAGCACTGCGAATGGCGTAGACGTAAGAAGTCCCTACACCGCAGACGCCTACGATAATCTGCCCAGTAACGCCAATGACCCACTGATAGAAGACTCTGACACGATGTCAGCGAAGTACCCGTGGCCAATACAACGAGCTCTCAAGGGCGTCAAATTCATTGCAGATCACTTGAAGTCAGAAGATCAACAACATAACGTATGTCTTTTAAACCCTAGAATTAGTGCACTAAGAGTCGAAATGTGAAAATTAGCAGCGGTCTTGTTGCACAGGAAGTATTTTTTTAATTAATTTAATAGTAAAATTTAGCAGTAGACAAAATGTAGTTCGGAACCAATTTTTTGTTTCAATTTATTTATTTATTTATTTGAAAACACATTTTTCATATCGCTGTAGGTGGAAGAGGACTGGAAATTCGTCGCTATGGTTTTGGATAGATTGTTCCTGTGGATATTTTCTCTCGCCTGCCTGGTTGGAACTCTTGGTATCATATTGCAAGCACCAACTATGTATGATGGCCGACGCCCGCTTAATATAGCATACAACGACGACTACTCATAGACTTTGAACAGAACAACAATTNTTTTTCTGAATAATCACCATTTAATTTTCAGTGCGGACGGTAATTACCAGATAACGACAATGACCAAAGCCACAGTGTACAGCCATGGGCGTGTCAAATGGGAGCCACCAGCCATCTATAAAAGTTACTGTCCTATAAACGTCGAGTTCTTCCCATTTGATGAACAAAACTGTCATCTGAAATTCAGTTCTTGGACATATGATGGGTTTCAAGTGGATTTAAAACACCGAGAGCATCCTGACATAAAAGACGATGTTCGGGTCGAAAATGGCATTGACGTATCTGCGTACTCAAGAAGCGTTGAGTGGGATTTGATGGACGTACCGTTTTCTAGAAACACTAAATATTATTCATGTTGCCCTGAACCTTATCCATCTATTACCTACAATATAACAATTCGCAGGAAGACTCTCTTCTATACTGTCAATCTGATCATACCCTGTGTGGCCATATCATTCCTCACAGTGTTAACATTTTATCTGCCATCACACAGTGGAGAGAAAATCACACTTTGTATTTCCATTTTGCTGTCTTTGACTGTGTTCTTCTTGCTGTTGGCAGACTTGATTCCCCCGACGTCTCTGGTGATCCCACTAATCGGGAAGTATCTGCTTTTTACGATGATCCTTGTGTCGTTAAGTATCATAGTGACAGTGATGGTTCTGAACGTCCACTTCCGGTCCCCTGCCACTCACAAAATGTCTCCTTGGGTGAAGAAAGTGTTCCTGTCCATCTTGCCTCGTCTACTTCTGATGAGAAGACCAAAACAAGAGAATGAAAAAGGGGTAAAGGAATGCAATTTTTCTATAAGAACAATTTCCATGTAGTCGAATTCAAAACGCATTTTTTCTGCCAGGTTAACGTAACCTGCCAAGATAACGTTGAAACATGTATTTTTTAAAAAATATTGACAATTCGATATCAATATGTTAATGTAATTAGATGGAACCACCTATTAAACCACACTAAATCTTTACACTATAATTTTACAGTGATCCACGTACTATAGAATGTATTCACTTAACTCTAGGATTCTAGCTAAACTTCATCAATACGCACTTATTTATGTATGTAATGCTTTAGGGTGTACATGTATATGAAATAACGCACTCACCAAACTAAGATACCAAAGGCAATAATCTGTAACTTGTGCGTTTTTCCAATGATGCCATAATGTATTTCTGCACAGGCCTCAGTAAGCACTGCGAATGGCGTAGACGTAAGAAGTCCCTACACCGCAGACGCCTACGATAATCTGCCCAGTAACGCCAATGACCCACTGATAGAAGACTCTGACACGATGTCAGCGAAGTACCCGTGGCCAATACAACGAGCTCTCAAGGGCGTCAAATTCATTGCAGATCACTTGAAGTCAGAAGATCAACAACATAACGTATGTCTTTTAAACCCTAGAATTAGTGCACTAAGAGTCGAAATGTGAAAATTAGCAGCGGTCTTGTTGCACAGGAAGTATTTTTTTAATTAATTTAATAGTAAAATTTAGCAGTAGACAAAATGTAGTTCGGAACCAATTTTTTGTTTCAATTTATTTATTTATTTATTTGAAAACACATTTTTCATATCGCTGTAGGTGGAAGAGGACTGGAAATTCGTCGCTATGGTTTTGGATAGATTGTTCCTGTGGATATTTTCTCTCGCCTGCCTGGTTGGAACTCTTGGTATCATATTGCAAGCACCAACTATGTATGATGGCCGACGCCCGCTTAATATAGCATACAACGACGACTACTCATAGACTTTGAACAGAACAACAATTTCAGCTCTTCTGAAGAGTAATTTTAGATAAATTTTCTAATTAGTACTTCTAGAACGTGAAGTTGTATATACTGTACATAAACAAAAAGAAAACAACGTTGTGCGAAACAAAAATGCATAATGCAATATTTCTCCTTTGTTTACATTTGATAATTCGTAGCGGCAGACATATAACGGTTTTGCATGAAAATGTTAGTTGATGAACAATAATTGAAATTTTGGCAATACTGGAACCACGTGTTGAGCTACGATGTGCATTGTCCACATTCTATGGATGGAACAAACTGTTTCAAACCTCATCATGTATGTAATCATAGCACCCGTGTGACGTGACAGAGAGTCCCCCATGACAGAGAGTCCGCTTCCCATTCATTTGTACAGGCGAGCCTCGCCCTAGATTCTAACCCATTATAACTAAACGGAGGGCGGACTCTCTGTTACACAGACCCTCAGTTTCGTCACACCGGCATGTTCCTGAGATGTGTGCCAGTTAAGCAGAAGAAAGCAACAACGATCTTTAGCTGATATCAAAATATTATTTTAATTTTTATTTTGCTTTTCACGTTACATGTTATCACTGTAATAAAATTACATTTATCACCAATGTGAAAAAAACTACAAATACATCAAGTTGTTTTGCATAAACAGAGTGATACGTAAATGCGCATTTCTACGTTTATTACGCACGAAAAGGTTATTCTGTCTGCTTGTTCACTATTATAATACGTTATCATTAGCTCTGGATGAAAGGGGGAGTTTTGAAAAAGCCTCCTATCTAACCATTATAACAGTCGGGAGGATCTGCAGAAAACTTATAGAGATATTAAATGTTCCTCATTATCCGCATTATTGTACCATAAATCGCAGAAAGAAGTCCGCTTAAGGTGTAGAAATTGTCAGTGTAAAATAAAATCCAAATATCAGTTTAAAGTGGGGAATGCGTAGTTAACAGAGAAAAAAGGTTGAAAAAACGCGTTAAGTCCAATCTGGCTCCACTATATGGTTTGATAAATATTTTACATTATCGTTGAACATCAATCAAAGCTACAAATGGTTGCAAATTCAAAAATAGAGAAATTGCAAATTCAAGACAAAAACAAAAGTTGCAGCATCTACATGTGATCGGTAATCAACTTTGAATATCTGAAGAATGACCGCTTCTCCCACAATCACGGGACAATCGCCGCTACACGTAAAAAGATGGAGTAGTGTTTAAACACAATAAATTGTAAAACTTCTTGTAAATAAACCAAAACTTAACAGAGTATTTTTTAAAGATTCCAAAGAAGCGCTAACTTTAAATTTTTGTCTTTTTTGTATTTGTCTGCAGATATTCTTATCTGATACAGATAAATACAGATGAAACGGGTAAAATTCTAACTACAAACGAGGCATTTTATTTAATTTAAAAAGCAGTTTATGCTCAAAATGATAGCTAGAATACTATTCTTGTAACACTCTTCTGATACAGTCCCAACAGATTTCGTTCACGTTATCATTTTTAAAACACTGTAGTAACTCTTCAACTCTGCCTTTGCATGCTTGTTTCAACAGCCTCAAACATGTCACTGCTTCCTCCAGAAGACATGTTTTAACATTTTGTGGAGTCAATGTTTTGTCGACAGACACATCATAAATGAATGTCAACAGTTTCTTGAGAATGTCATCACAATGATACAATATTCTTGGCCATGCTTCAGTTATTGTGACCTGGAGGATGATGAGAATGTTAATCCGGGCAGTCTCTGCTGGACCATCATATGCATCTAAATAGCTGTGGATGACATTTAACAACTGCTTTAAGTGACGGACAATTGTTATTCCCATGGCTTGCAGGTATGCTGGCAAGTGACTTGAAAGAGCTCTTCTAATGACAATCTTGACTTCTACTAGCATATCTCTAAGTATGTGCTGTAAAACACAATCATATTTACCCAGGGCTCTTTCAGCATCCACCTGCTTAGGAGAAACTTCTACAATCTCCAATATTTGGAGCAGAGTTGGATGTAAAGCTTCAATCACTTCAACATCATGAGTATAAAGCTGATGGTATAATGCCTCATATATCACCTCTGCTCTTGAATGCAATCTTAGACTAGTTTTAGTGGTGTTACAAATAATGTGACGCAGACACTGAATCCCAAGTACTTTATTCCTTGGCACATAGTCATCTGTGAACAGTAAAGCTGGTGGGATCACAACATTCAAGTAGTCAGACAAATGAGGGAACTTAATCTGCATAAGAGACCACTGTAAAATGTGCTGAGAAATAGGATTGTTCTTCCAGGAGTTGCGCATCATCTTTGGTTGTAAAAGACCAAGTACCTGCCTCACCACAGTTTGTTGAGATTCTGATGCACCTAGCAACAACTGTGTGGTATTGCTGCATTCATAAATAGCACACAGGTATTCCAGTGTTTTTCCTGCGAGATCTATACTAATATCATTTGTCCATGGTAAAGGCTGAGAGTTGGCTGCACACACAGATACTACTGTATGTCTGCAATGTTTCATTACACTCTTAGTAACATTGTCCTTTCTATGTTCTCTTAATCGCTCAATAATCAGACTACACACATCTAGAACAAATGCTGCACATTCTGGTAGTCCTTCAAAATCTGACGAATCAAATTCGTAAACTTCGTGTTCAAACGATTCGTGACGCAAATATTGTTCACAAATGTAATTTATGAAATCCGAGCAGAGTTGCTTATCACAGTCTAAGTCACCTTCAAATTCACGCAGTAATCGTTTCAGTTTATTAAGAGCAGAGTTAAATTCGTGGATTTTCGAATATTTTAACGTCAAGATCCTGTTCAGATATCTAGCAACTGATACGCTTCCAGTTAATCCAACACAGTCCCCGGCGTCGTCTAAAATGGATAACTCACTAACCAGTCTCTCCAATTGCTTGCTTGTATCAGCCATATTGTAAGTTCTGGTTACTTCTAAAATGCATAGCATTTAAATGGTTATACGGCGGTAAATCTTTTGATTCTATGGACTTCAATTGTTGAAGCACGTTTCCTTGCACATGTGGTCCTGAACGACAGCCATTTTGAACGGTCACATGATATGACTAGTTCTTGACTGGTTCCAACAATTCGTTTGTGTTTTCAGAATTTTAGATTGAATTAAAGGTTTACGGTGTGACCCTTAAACTACATAATGTTTTTAATAACGATTATGTGATGATTACATAGTATGATTGTTTATAATGAAATTACGATATACAAAATTCCTTCACCTCACCCTTTGAGGGAACTAATCATCATTCAGCATGGCGCCGAAACCCAAGTTTCAGGAGGGTAAGTGAAAATTATGGGTGTTAACGGTGCGTATTTATGGGAATATATTTCATTGGGCATTTTAACATGTGTATAAAAGTATGTTAAGTTATTTCATGTTTGTCTTTTGTATAAATATTGAACGAACACGATGTGACGGGACTCCCTTATTGTGTGTTTTTTGTTTGGCTGGGCCTGGGCTGGGAGATGTGAATGAAACAGAATTGAGTGATGTTGTGATTTTGTGTTTACAGTATTGGTTTTTTTTGTTTTTTTTTGGTTACTGAAAACAGTTAATCGTATAACTTTTACTTTCTTATATTCTGTACAATAAAGCTGATATTTACAGACATACTGCCCATGAATGCTCCATCACATTTGATTTGATTTAAAACTATGTTTTTCATTTGACATGCTTTTGTGTACAATTTGAAATTGAGCAAAAACTATTTTGCAGGCGAAAAAATACTGTGCTTTCATGGGCCTCTTCTTTATGAAGCCAAGGTGAGTAACCTGAATGATTTTAGATTTTAATGACTGGTTGAAGGAGGAGATACAAAATAAAAACTTTGAGTTTGTATCTCAGACAGAGTGGTTTAGTTGATGTTTTGCTTAGTTGTCCATTGTTTAAGGGATGTTTTAATCCTTTTAATATGTAATTATAGTTTTGATTTTTAAAAATGAAATCTGTAATGTGGTGTTTTTCTTTTAGCTTGTGAAGACTGAAGTTAAAGATAAACAGACAAGATATTTTATTCATTACAATGGATGGAATAAACAGTAAGTTGACGTAACAAGTATGCAACTGTGCATGAACTGTAGTACACAGTTAGTTTGATAAAGTGAAAGGAATAAATGTTAAAATTAATATTCAGTTGGAGTTTAAATGTTTTGTAATAATTGTTTGTTGTAAGAAATATTCTGTTGTATTTTTTCCGTAATATTCCTTCCTGAAACATTTTGAATGTAATTCAAAAGTATTTAAGTGACAGCAGGTATAGGTTTTCTTTTTGTTACTGGGGTGGTGACAATACTGTGGATAGACCCTAAGCCTGGTGTTTTGATTGTACATACAGTTTCATTTTTTGTTTATAGTTGGGATGAATGGGTACCGGAGTCCAGAGTAGTGAAGTGTAATGAAAGTGGATTACAAAAACAGAAAGAGTTAATGAAAGCTCATGCGTAAGTATATATCATTGCAATTTGAATGGTATGTCTTGTATGTCCTTGGTGATGTAAAACATGTTACTTCACTGTGAAAAGAATTTTAAAGATACATACAAAGTCAATTTTTTGTCACAAAAACCAACTTAATGCCAGCATATAGTTTCAAGTAGTATAACTAAGATAATTACCAAAAGGCATTGTTTAATTTTACCCGAAAATGATGTTTGAACGGATTTTTCTGCTAGCATTCTATGCTGTATGTCAATGGGGCAGCAAAGTAGGTCACGAAAGTAGGTTAAATTTCCAACCAAAAATTTAAAGAAAGGAGCAGTCTAAAGCTATTTTATGACTGATCGAGTTATCTATTCAGTTTATCCCTTCGCAGGTTGAATTTATAGAGTCAAATAAAGGAACTAGTAGAAGTGATTTACATGTGTTACTGGGATCCCACGCTCCACTGATGCTTGGTTCATATGTACCTTTAAATGGAATTGTTTAATTTCAGTTAAGAAGCTATTCTGTTACAATTGAAAGAAAATTATATTTACTCACATTTTCTTATTTCTTAGGAAAAACAGGAAAGGTATTCTACCAACAGGAGTTGGAGCACCCCCCAAAGCCAAAAAGCAGGAAAAGGAGAAAGAAAAGGAAAGGTGTTCTACACCATCTTCAGAAAAGTCAGACAAACAAACATCAAAACAGAAAGGTGAGGTTAAGATGTCACAGCAAAGACATGTGATGTAATAAGCTTTCTCTGTTTTAATACCAGTAGGGTGCAAAACACAGGCTTAGCCTAGCAGTTTTTCAGCTTGCAATTGATTTTAACTTTTAATATTACACACACCCAAGCATATTGTGCACACACACACACACACACATATGCACACACAAGCAATTATGTTTTTTATTTATTTATTTTTTATTTATTTATTTAATTAATTAATTAATTTATTTATTTATTTTGTGCATTGGGCTAGTAGAAAAAATGTTTAAATTTCCATTACAAAAAAGATTTATTCCACCATTGTAGCTCCAAGTATAGCAGAGTCCACAGGAAGTTCAGAACAACCAAAGAAGAAGAGGGCAAGAGTTGATCCTACAGTAGAATCTGTGAGTAAAATATGGCACATTTTGGGCCATTAATCATTATTTTAATTTTTTTCCCCAAATCACAAGACAAATTAATGATTTCTGTTTTAATTGGAAGACAGTTGTGTAACATCTTTTAAGGAACACCCTTGTTGTATTTGAAGAATTGTTTAACACAATGCTTTGCAAATTTTTAAAGGTATGGATGAATTTTTTTTTTACCTAGGAGGAGTCTTTTCTGGCCAAGATTGAAGTGAAGCTAAAAATCCCTGATGAGCTGAAGCCTTGGCTTGTGGATGATTGGGATATGATTACAAGACAGAAAATGGTAAATGACGATAAACCAAAGTTAATTATCCAGTATATCAGATGGTTTTATCAAAGTGTACACTGTTTAGTGCATGTCTTTTTATTGTACATTGATGAGTATTGGGTGGTGCAAACAGCAGTTTTTTTTAGTGGATTAAAATTACATCTTTAGAGGTTTTTCACAATATTCCTGCAATGTGTTTATTCTACCATTTTAAAAACCATTTAAGCTACTGAAGCTGCCAGCTAACATGACTGTTGAAAAAATTCTGGATGAATATATGAAGCAGAAAACTTCAAAAGGAAACAATCCCAACAAGTAAGTTGAGTCTTTTGCTAGTCCTGATATTGTCATAAGTTTTGTGTTAAATAAGGATTGCAATTGTGTCCAATTAAAAGAGAAATTTAAAGTCCAATATAACGTAAGGCACAGCAATGTTTTGTCCCAGTGCTCATCAGATATGAAGATTCCATCATTTCATTATTTTGTCATATTGTATGTTAAAATACTTGAATTTGCTTAAGTAATATATATTCTAAGACATATGAAGCAAACATTTGGCATGAAATATTTTATGAAATTAGTACATTTTTGAAATCATTCTCTTTGAGTTTCTAATGTCAGTTTCACATGATTCATTCATGCAATATACACAATCCAACTGCTTTTACCAGAAATTGTTTTTGAAATTTGGACATCATGAAAATTAAAAAAAAAAAAACTATTTAAATCCAGTATGATCCTCTGTGTCTGTACTGTGTCTGTTTGAGTTTTGGAGCCAGTCAGAAACTAGCCATATCATATTGTGTATATTTAGCAAATATGGAGTTTTACAGCATATTCAAGACATGATGCCTATACGTCACAGAACTCACTTTATTTTGTTGTAAAATAAAAATTACCGCTTTGTCTTCGCCAAAGAGGTACACAGTACTATTTTTGCATTCATCTGTCATTTTCTTCATGTCTGATATTCTTTTTCAGAGATGCAATCATAGAATTGACCCAGGGTATCAGAGAATATTTCAATGTTATGCTGGGAACACAATTATTGTATAAGTTTGAAAGACCACAGTATGGAGAGGTAGGAAAATGTCTTCATTTTATGTAAAAAGAATCAGTAACTGCCTTATGGTCCAAACCGCAAAATATATAATGTCAGGCAAGGTATTGGTCTTAATCATGTTATACTTCATTTGATTGTACTTATGGAATAATAGACATTGTATGTTGCATTGAATAGAAATATTGAAATTAAATGATTGTGGAAAAGGAATAATTTGATTGAGGTTTTGTTGTTAACTTTTGATATATATCAACAACTTTCTGTATTGTAGATATTGAGTGAGAACCCAGATGTTCCTATGTCACAAGTGTATGGCTCCATTCATTTGCTTAGGTTGTTTGGTAAGTGTTTGCATATATTTACATTGAAGTGCAATTGTGTAATGTTGTTTAATTGTCTATTTATCCTACAAGAACAATATTGTTTTTATATTAAAAATTATAACAGCCACAAGAACAATATTTTATTCATTTTTAAAATTTCAACAGCCAAACTTAGCAATACATTTCTGTTATGTAGTAATATATATGTGGCTCAAAAAGTGTGTATGATCAGAGAATAATGCAAATATTTTGTTTCAGTTAAATTACCACAAATGTTGGCTTACACTCCACTGGATGAAAAGAGTATCCAGCTTCTACTTAATTATCTACAGGATTTCCTAAAGTGAGTCAATACATGGTTAAAGCTTACAGAAAGGGGCTCTGAATACTGTGATCCATCTTCTGCATTGTTAAAATGAGTATAACATGGTTTAGACTGTATTCATATTTTCTGTAAGGTGGTTACAAAAGTAAGGAAGCAAACAAATTTTGAAAATTTGATAATGTGAGATAGCGATATGTTTTTGTAAAAAGCATGCTCTGAATTTTATTTCAGATACCTTCAGAAGAACATAGGGACTATGTTCAGTTTGAGTGACTATATCGTAGCACCTCCAGACTACCACAGAAAAGCCATATGAAACTGAATGCCTGTTGAATGAAGGGAGAAAATATAACAATTGATGCTATGTTAAAGTATAAGATAATGGGGGCTGTCCATGAAAGGTCATCAGTGCCCAGCCAGGTCCTCCACATGCTTGACCACCTAGTGGACAAAGGCTGAATTAGTTGGTCCTTCTATTAAAACCTGGTTAGTGTCGGCATGGCCAAATGCATTTGATGCTTTGTATTGATGAAGTGACTTGAACCAAGAGGATCTTTGGGAAGATTTCATCTGCAGTGTACAGTTTAAAGATTCTTTAAGAGATTATTTTGCCTGAAATGTGGACACAGGTTAGAATGGGTTAAAAGAAAAAATCAGCAGAAGTATTCCCACACAGGTCACCATTTTAATATGTGTTCATCCACTGACAGCTCAATAGTCTGGTGAACGGCAGTGAAGGCCCCAAACTGGGTGTGTTAGTCGCGAGAACTGTGACAAATATGTAGAAATTGTCAACTTTCATTAGTATGACATCGTATCTGTAAGCATCGTATCTCATGCGTTATATATGTACATGATATATGAAGGCGCTGACTGTGAACTCAATAAGCATATGTATTTTTAAATAAAAGGTATTTTGTACACGGAAACTGAACAGCTTAAGTACGTAGTGTGACTTATTGTAAAATGCTTCGTAAGATTACGGTTTTACAGCATTTCAAGAAGCGTTTCTGTATTTCATTATTCTAAAATAAAATACAAAAATGCACCTCTTTAGCAACTTTCAGCACTAATAGTAATTTTAATCGCATGGAAAAATGTTCTGATGTTTCACTACAAGGTGGAGTCACAAAGGTGTTTTCATGACAACTTGTGTGTTAAGTTATTGGTGTTCTGTTTTTCATATGCTGGTTTCTTCATTCTATTTAATACTCACAAAATGGTTCTTGAAGCAAAATTTCAGCGACATAAACAGACAATAAGGGCAAGACGACGTGTAATCCTACTAGACCGAAAGGTTGCAAATGTTTCATTGAAAGGGGTGAAAGAAAAAAGAACATTCGTTATGTAGTTTATTGAAACCAACAATATAGAACATTTTGTAACAGAGCGCTAATGTGCATGTCAATAGCTTCTTCGTCTCGTTGGCGGATGTAAAATCCCACTTAAGATGTAAGTGTATTGGACTACTGCTCTTTGTAAGCAGGCGGTGACGTACTAGGAGTGTCTGCATATATACAATATATGATACAATGCAATGTTAAATTTGCTTTCTCTACTTCTGTGCTTAGATCAAGTCACATGGGCTTTGAAATTTCACGTATTGCACCTTTATCCGCATAAATTTTAAGAAGATTTCGACAAATTTTAACATCTAGCAAATAAAATACTCATTTTGGAGAAAAACAGTAAAGAATTTTGATTAATTAAAAAAGTACTGTGCCAGCAAAGTAGGCCTACGCAAAAAGCGTATGAATGCCAAGAGATTGGCGAAACTTTCAAATTTTATTAAAAGATGATTAACTTGCGAATTGTTTGGATTAAGGGCGTGTATTCATGCCCAAATTACGGACACAATTTAAAAGTAGAAAATAATTGATAATAAAAATTCAATTCACGCGAAAAATAGAAAAAAAAAACTGCATAAGCATTATTCCAAAGATTTCATTCCTTTATTCTAGAGCAGATACTTACATGCCGTGAAAAGTTACCGTGATGCTGCAGTGTTAATATAACAAAAAAAGCCAGACGTACAGTACCATCAACCAGCACTGAAACACCGACAGCAAGTGCGTTTCATAATCACCGGCGTTGGATTTACATTAACCCCTCGTATTTCTTGGAAATAAAAGCACCGGGAAATGCAATTTAAGAAATTCCGTAACCCGCTTAGTTACCAACTTTTTTACGGCTTCTACATTTACATACTTACTAGATCTACATTTGAATCCAGACCTAATTCGCCACACACCACTCGACCATTTCAAATCAATTTTCTAAATTAAATTCAATCTCAGACCCGCAATTCTAAAAGTTAACATCAAAATGTCTGACTAGTTAAAACACCATAACAACATGCAAAGTCTGGTGTGCTCCATATGGGATTTAAAATGTTCAATGAGATGATTAAAAAGTCATTGGCCCGCAGCGCGAAGCCCTATTGATAGTCGTCGCTGTTTGCAATGTTGAGCGGGGTTCTGCCATCGTACATGGTGGGTGCTTGCAAAATGATACCAAGAGTTCCCACCAAGCAGGCGAGCGTGAAGATCCACAGGAATAGTCTGTCCAAAACCATTGCAACATATTTCCAGTCTTCTTCAACCTAGAATAAAAGTAATGAAAGACGCTCTTAAAACAAGCAAGACATCAATACATTGCCTTAAAGTGCTTTCGTTAAAATCGAAAATTCAGAACAAAACACATAAAGTTATTATTTTTACTTTTTATTTATTTTTTTCAGAAGCCTTCTTACTTTGAATAATCCCAATTATTTTACCATTTTACCTTGGCAAGTAAATCTCATTAATTCATACTTGACTTTTTCAAATAATTAGAAATTTAGTTTACGCTATGCTGCTGATCCTCAGACTTCAAGTGATCTGCGATGAACTTCACTCCCTGCAGGGCACGCTGCACGGGCCACGGGTACTTCAGTAAAGCCGCGTCCGAATCTTCAAGCAGAGGATCACTGGGGTTACCGGGCAAGTTATCGTAGGTATCGGCAGTGTAAGGACTTTTGGCACTAACGCCGTTTACAGCGCCCACGGGTACCTGGATATTACATTTGGTAAAAAAATTGAGTCTGTTTTTAATCACACTCCCTCAACGCATTGCTTTAATAACCACACTTTAATTGACCTCTACTCACGCGGGTCTGTCAATTTAACCAACGTAGACGCATGGGAATAAAGAAAAAAATCATCCCACCCAAAAACTACATCTTTCTTATGTGCATTTTTTTACCTACTAGAGGTTTTAAAATACTTTCCTTTCAACAACATTCTTTCATTGCACAGCGTTTGCAGAACTTGCTACCCATTTCTGTAAAGTAAACTTAGTGAAACAAATACCTTTGCCCCCTTGTCCGTATCTAGTTTTGGCCTTCTCATCAGCAGCAGACGAGGCAAGATGGACAGGAACACTTTCTTCACCCAAGGAGACATTTTGTGAGTGGCAGGGGACCGGAAGTGGACGTTCAGAACCATCACTGTCACTATGATACTTAACGACACAAGGATCATCGTAAAAAGCAGATACTTCCCGATTAGTGGGATCACCAGAGACGTCGGGGGAATCAAGTCTGCCAACAGCAAGAAGAACACAGTCAAAGACAGCAAAATGGAAATACAAAGTGTGATTTTCTCTCCACTGTGTGATGGCAGATAAAATGTTAACACTGTGAGGAATGATATGGCCACACAGGGTATAATTAGATTGACAGTATAGAAAAGAGTCTTCCTGCGAATTGTGATGTTATATGTGATGGTAGGATATGGTTCAGGACAACAAGGGTAATATTTTGTATTCCTTGAAAACGGCACGTCCATCAAATCCCACTCCACACTCCTGGAGTACGCAGACACGTCGACTCCGTTCTCAATCCGGATGTCGTCCTGGATATCCGGATGCTCTCTGTGTTTTAAATCCACTTGGAATCCGTCGTATGTCCAAGATCCGAACTTCATATGACAATTCTGTTCGTCAAATGGGAAGAACTCTACATTGATCGGACAGTAGCTTTTATAGATTGCAGGTGGTTCCCATTTGACTCTCCCATAATGGTAAACTGTCGCTTTGGTCATAATTGTAATTTGATAGTTGCCATCCGCACTGAAAAGGAAGAAGACAATAATGAAAGATGACTGTTCATATTTTGCCGAGAACATGACACCATTCCCTGTTTGAAATCAGACCACATTAAGAAAAAGGGAAATAAAACGATGATTTTGAAAAGAAAGATAAATGCAACAATGAGCTAAGTGCCTACCTTATGCTAAAAATCAATAGTACTATAAACATCCACGTGTTATTTCTAAGACAAGGTTTATGGTGAGGAGAAGATCAAAGGTGAAAAAAAAACTCACTTGTTGTAGAGCACAATATCGGGTTTCCAAATATCACCAACTGGAACAAATAATTTTTTAACTCCTCCGTATTCGATAGGCTTCCAGAGCAGGCTAGTGTCGTTCCATTCCTGATAACGTTGTAAAACTAATGATATAATTTCACTCATTAAATGTGTTAGTTGCGCAAATTACCAGCGAGTACATTCAACAGCGCAATGAGGGAAACCTACCGTCATCAACCACATTCCAGCAGTAATCGCCGTACACCTATCACAAGCAAAAACAAAAACCAAAAAAAATAAAAAAGCGTTTACTTCACTCACTTGTTATACAGAACAATATCTGGAAGCCATATGTGTTTTGCAGGCACCATAAGCTTGTCTATTCCCCCGTATTTCCTGTAGTCCCAGGTGAGTTGTTTGTCTACCCATTCCTGTTAGCAGCAAAGTTAGTAAAACGCAAAGATTATTACCGGCATGCTCTTAACAGTGGTTTACAACACAGTATTGGTTCAGTGGTGCAGTGCTCTTATGAGCCTTTTAATGACACGATGTGCACACATCTACAAGTTGTAACATGCCTCCTTTATGCCACATGCAAAAAAAGGTTTATTAAATGTATTGTGCATTGGTGTTGGACATTAATCATCTTACAAATATCAATGAAAATGAAAAAATGCTGAAATAAATCAAAATCCAGGTTCATGTTGAGTTTTCAAGTAACTGTGTGAATAAGTTAAAACAAAAAAACAAACACACAAACACGCAAACAAACAAGCCATCAGAACAATATAGGAGAAAGTGGGGTAAGTCCAAACGTGGATATATTGGAACAGCCTTTTTCATTTCTGCAGGCCCTAGGCAAAGCGCCTACGCCATAAGACATCCTCTATCTCCCCAGAGAAGGCACGCAAAGGCATTATTTTGATTTTTTACGAGGAAAGATTCTGCTGTCCTTAAATTTTCATGAAAATGTTGTCACGACGGACTGATAGGCAGAGATACTGAGAGTTACTGTCTTAGTCATATTATTCGATCTTTTTATGATAAAGATGTGATGCGTTTTTGCGACCTTCTCACCAAATTAATTTTATAAGGTTTCGATTGGCCAGATTTCGTCAAATGTGGAGTAAATTTGAACATTTCGGCGGGATAAATTGGAACTAATTAAAAGCATGTGACAAAAGTAGAGCCACAGTTTCCTGAGAAATATCAGATGTATTGGAGCACTGCTCCAGATGAAATGGAAAGTGTTTAGAGATGGCCACTTTCCTGTACGAGGTGTACTCTAGCTGTTTTGGTTACAGGTATTTATGAAAAATTTGTGTGGGTGGTAGAAGGTCATATTTGCATGTCCCTTTACTTCTCATTCAGGAGAGAGAACATTTAAGCCCACGGCCTACCTCTTACGATAAACAATTAATACAAAACATTCATACTGCTTGATAACGCTATTGGTGATTTCCATTGAGTGATACAGCGTACATATCAATAAATCTGTTATAATGAGCCTGCACCCAGATAATTGCCGGTGACAAGGGTTAAAAAGGGCCCCTTGATGCTGGGCAATGTAGAAAAAAGCATACTCGAACAGTGATAAACATCATTGACAGACCAGGCAAATTTCAACAGAAATACGAGGGAAAACCCATTATTATACGGAAATGACTCAGATCTGGAAGATTTATGGATTATGTTTGTGATGCATCTTGGAAAACAAGAATTTTACGGGGAAAAAAATAATATATTTGTCTGTTCAGCGTTTCAGTAGACAATGTCTTAACCAGGAAATGTTTTGTTTCGACCCTTGTAGATGCGTTCTTATCAATGGACAACTTTAACTACGGATTGTTGAAGAACGTCTGGGGTCGTATGAAATTATTTCTAAAGATATTAGTTCAAACTTTTGCTACCAGGTGTTGAAACCTAATATACCACTTGGGTAGATTGAAACACTAGGCTATTAGTTTTAAATGCCAATATCGTGGCCTCAGTGTAGCCTGTGCCTAGATGTGGTTAGTGTTACTTTGCTTTTCATAGAACTCTCATTTCTCTCAGGATGAATATATGAATTTAGAAATGAAAAGACAGAAGCTAAAATTAGTTCCAACGTATTCTCTCTCTTCTATGTCATTTACCTAGATTAAAATTGACAGAATCTGGTGAGACTGACTACAGGCTTTAAGTCATGAACTGACTGTAAAAGGCATTCAAATTTTAAAAAAATCTTTCCTGTTACATTAATTGACAATGATGAGTATGCTAGATTCTGATCACCGTACCTTAACATGCGTATCAACGTATGTGAAAGACAAGTATAATAATATGAATATTGTTTATCATTCAAAAGTGACAATTACAGCGAACACAAATAAAGAAAAAGGAATACATGCATTATCACTATAAAATATATAAAAGCGAATGAACAGAATCAACCTAGATTAAAAAGGCTATAAAAACAAGTTGATTACGAACTTTACTGGAACTCAAATAACTGTCACGAACTGAATGCTCCATGCGAAAAGAATAAATACACTTTTATACAATTTGTAAAAGCAAGAGATCTTTTTTGAAGTCAAGAAAAAAATGCGAATGTTTAATATTGTGAAAAAATAACTCTGGTTTTAATAACTTAGTTTCATACTCACGTGCAACAACCAAACGTTCACTGTCATTATTTGGTTCTTTTCATCCTAACAATCATGAAAGAGAACGATGATCACAGTTGAATGTTGTCTTTTGTTTCTCAAATTAAACATTACATTTCATAATTCAAAATCAATAACTGTAAGGCAGAATTATGTTTTCATCTTTTTAATTCTTGTGAGAAGCTGATTTATATGCACTTTAGCGGACAAGAATGTTTCATCAAGATTGAGGTGGAAAAGTTCAAAACGTCTCCGTCTTGATTACCGACGCCGTATTACCGACGGCGTCTCGTGTTCAGTTGATGTGAACGGTCGGCATAGCTCTGATCCTTACACTTCATTAACGTACAGGGGAAAAATCAATCTCCTTGATTTCTTACAGCCAAAACACATAATTGTAAATAATGGATCATGGGATCACCTCATACGATCCACAATCATCGGGAGAATCCAATTTGGTGGCAATTTATTGAAGAAATTCCAATCGCCTCCCTTTCTGAGAAGAGTCATCATGTAAATGTAAATCAAGTCTGTTAGGATAAGGAAACTCATTACTCGAATCATCTTGAATACTCCAGAGACAACCTGCACTGGTCTAAATCCCAAATAAAAATATTTTCGGACAGGGATAACAAAATGCCTGGATGTTTTGAATTAATGATGCATTTTAGTTATATGTGGATTTTTGAGCTAGTCTTTTGAGCACTTTGCAGAAAATATTGTAGTGCGCCCATGTGCATGTATAACAAAATTTGTAAATATTCTTGACATTTATTGCTATTATGATACGTACCACATCTATGAGCTGAGTTAACTTCAATCCCAATTTGACCGTCAGTTTGTCCGTGTTGTTGCCTACTGGACGGATGAGTTTATTGTACTTTCGTTTTCTGAACAAATCATCGTACAGCCTACGGGCATCGGGGTTGCCTTCCAGTTCTGGAAAATTTCATTTTCATAAAGGTGACCAGATGATCTTCATTATTTATTATAACCAAATAAAGAGGTAAATCATAATGGAAATTGAAATAGCCTAAGATATCCTGAAACGTGACGACATACCAGACTTTCTGACCTCCAGAAAATCTTTTCGCCGAAAATATTATTTTAGAAAGCAATTCGACTGAACAGAAAGACAACCAAAGATACATGTGGATAAATTCTGCCAGCCATTATTTGTTGTCGCAACGCACTCGTTAGTCTGCCATTATTCCTGACCCACACTCCTCTGAATCTCGTGAATTTTCTATTCATTTTACGATAAGTTGCAAGACTTTCAGCTACATGTATCTCGAATGGTTTTCATTGATTAAATTTTATTCTAAGAGATCACTACGTTTCTAGATTTAAATCAAGCAATTATAGACAGTTGTCATTCACTCACGTGAAGTATATTATTGCTGCTGTAACACCAAATAATTCTAATTCCCTATTACTATTTTCGTACAAGGATTGGAAATATTTGCCCAAAGCCTGGATACGTTCAATATATATTAGTTTATCTATCCATTCATTATGCCATTGGTACATTTTGCGGTTGCTGTGGTAAAAAGGCCTTGCACTATGATTACTTCTATTTTAAACAGGTTAAAACATTGCGATCAGAAGAGCGCTACACACGGGAGGTTCGGGAATTAACTTACAATTGTACGTGAGGGTACAAACACAATTAACCAGGAAGTGTCAATTTCCATTTAGAAGACACAATCCTAGTTTTCCCAACCGGCCATCTATCAATCGCTTGTCCGGGATGGCAGAAAAGCTGAAGAATAGATTAGTGGACCTTCCGATTTAAGTAGGAGTATATCATGGTATACTGAATTTTCGACATCATACGTCTCAGTGACAGTACTTAATATACATACAAATGCAACTAGATGTACGACAAGTCAACTCAATAAAGAAGAAAAGAAATGCAAGCAATCACTTTATCCTTATGGTTAGCGAGAGTGAAATACACGATTGATGCGCAATAGACAGATAATTACAAAAAAGAAGACTTTTAGTCTCTGTCTTTACTTATACAGTGAAGAATGACATCAAAACGCCTAAATATTCGTCAATCAGATTAAAAAGTACAGCATATTTAAATACCCCGAGTAACGCTTTGCTGAACTTTGCAGATTGAGAATTCAGCAATGCTTTCGGTATCTGCAATGCTTTCAGTATATTGCGAAGACGTTCAGGAACCACTGGCAGCGAAGTGAGACTAGTAGGGCTGCTGACATACAGACACTAATCATACAGGCTATCATGTATGCTTTAGATAGAACATGACCAATTTATCATAATGACAACCTTAGATGTTTTGCTATGTAGTGATTTGATCTTTAGAAAATTAGGTAAAAGAATTTTTATCAAGTGGAGACTTCTTTACAAAGAAGTGCACAAAAAAGGGGCGACTGGTGCATTAACCTTACCGAAATGTTATCTGAACAGCCGTAAAAATCGGCTCTGCTTGCTCATAACGGATTGATATGAACCTGATTATTCCTGAACTAAAAACTTTTAAGTGGACAACCAGTATTTTTCTTAAAGTAGACGCTTTTGACATTGTGAACACTTTCGTTTTATAATGTATTTAAAAATAATACACGACCATCACACGTCTGCCTTGTTATAAGATGTTATAAGTAAGTAAGTAAAAGGTTGCCAAACTGTTGTGTAACATGTTGATCATATATTGGGGCCAACGCTCAGCAAACACAGAACGTTATTATAACGTTACCATAACGTTTATAAATACAACAACAACCAAAAAAAAAAAAAACGTGATGCTAACGTTATTTTAACGTTATCATAACGTTTATACAACCAAAAAACGTGATGCTTACGTTATAATAACGGTCTGTCTTTGCTGGCTGGCTTAATTTCCCGAAAAAAGCAACAAATGCGAATCGGAGCATCTGTTGCCTATACTAAATCATTATACAAATAGCTGCCATTAAATATTCAGTTCCTTTTATGGCAATTGGTCAAAAGATAATATTGACTTGGGCATACATAAGTGTTAATTCACATTTAACTTACAGTAACGTATTAGACAGGTGTGAGATATAACGATAAAGCAATCACTTCCAATTCACTGGATGAAAAAGAACGGAGACGAAGAAGTTACGCTACAGTGATAACTTGATATCTTTGGGAACTGAGGTCACCCTAACAGACATGCAAACATATTGTCTAACTATCTTTTATACAATACCAGCATGTGCTTTCTACATGAAGCAGATCGTATATACGATGAGACGTCTTGAACCATTGGCTACCAACCCTAGGCCAACGGACGGTTTGTTTTTTGGAACAGATATGCATGGATTCCAAGTTTTATCTAGATAGGTACAGACATTCAGGGTTGCGTGTGCCGCTCAAAGAAAGAGAAGAAACAGCTGCATACTAGTTCCCGAAACTAAAAATACTATAGAAAGTATCACTTGTGTCCTTAAGTTACCATTGCAGTTTTTTTTTATTTATTTACGAACGAAAATATCTGGTTTCGAGAGTCTTTTGAAAAACAAAACAAACAAACAAACAAAAAAAAAATTAAGATGCCACATCTTTTGGCTTCTTCCTGTGTATTTTGCATTTTTTTTAAATCTTGTATTCTTGACACGATGTAATAAAAACCGAATAGAAGTTTTGTTTACTGAACTTAAGTCTCTTGAGTCTTCTTACAGAGTGGGCAGGTGAAACTGTCTGGAAATTGGGAGCTCTTAGCCATGCCGTATGAATACTAACTACAACATACTAGTATTGCCAAGTGAAGATTTTTTTACCGGCCCACGAGGGCCAGGTGTACAGCACTTTTTGCCTCATTTGCTACTCTTCATTGGTAGAGTACATATATAAACCACCTGAGAAACAGGATATATATATTGGCCTGATTATATTCAGATGGAGGAAGGAGGGGTAAGGGTTCCCTAAAATTATATAGGCGGTTCCGCAATTAAAAACAAAACTTCTTCTGAAACATTTGTAATCCCACTGTTCACTGACTGTTTATCAGGCTCATAGAACGCAATAACGAAGACGAGTGCTGAAAACCAGGAGCCTAAAGGGGAAAAGACTTCAGGATGTGAGAAGCATGCTTTTTCTGTCTCGAAGTTGTGATATTGATGATGTCCCATCGAGAACGACTAAGTATGTGGTAACCATGGCAACGGACATGATCACTGAATAGTACAGAAAATGATGGGCACGTTCGCTCTCCAGATATCGAACGGCATGTGATTTGATTTCAACCAATGACGCCGCCAATATCAGACAAGGCGAATTTCTGGCAAACGTGAAAAGCCTCCTATTGATTACGTTTATCATGCACTTGTTATAGCTGAATCGCCTCTTTATTGAAATGGTACTTTTTAGGGACATGTAACAATTTTGTCAATTTTCGAAGTTTCTGTATTATACCAGTCAAATACTAAGCGATCCTTTATCTGGAAAAGCCAACATTATGAAGAGATTGGATTGATTTACTTCTGTGCCACTTTGATCGTCTATCCATTATGAAATTAGTCATTTAATCGACTGCAATAATAACCTAAAAAGCGAATACTTTCAGATACGTGTTTACGTCAGGATGGTGGAACTGTTTCACTTTACGGTAAAATAAAGAACCCACCCGGACAATTCCTTGCCGGACACTTCTACCCGGACATCCTCTCCACTGTACAATTCAACCTCAGGGCACTTTATTTGTAAAAAAATTATATTGGCTTTTTTTAAGCGTGCAAATTAACGTTCGTTAAGGCTATTCATACTGTGACCTGCAGTGGTAAATGTCTGTGTGAATAAATCGATTTTGATGTGACGTTTAAATTTGATTTTTGTGTACTTTTTCAAATAAGGCTGACAAGAAAGCGATTTTCTCAAGTGTGTTAAACTGGCAATAGTGGTAGTATCAGAAATATGAAGATCAAGGCCATCAAATCAATCATTTTGTTTTCTAAGAAAGTCTGTCCTGTAAAAATGAAAGTATCAGCACGTTCTCCGTAATTTACCTTTTGGGATTAAAAGAACCATTGATCTTTCTCTTACTTTTCTCTCCCCAAGATGTTTAAGATGTCCCTTTGTGTTAACTTATTAACTGTGACAGCACTGTGAATTTGGCATTGGTCTTAAAGAGAGTATCGTTTTATTTAATACGCGTATTAGTAAGCCGTTAATTCTACCTACGGGCCATTACAGTCGGATCATTAGCAGGGAACAGGACGTGCACGCTCCATTAAACATAAATCAATACTAACAGGATAGGGACTCAGCTGGCTGCTTTCTATCGATATTTCTTGACACCTTTCACAGATATTAATTCGAGTTAATCACAATTAAAAAACTGGGTAAACATTTATTAGAGACAGCTGCTGGAACAAGAAACGTTTCACTGGCATTTTCGATGCTTTACTTGTGACAAAGCGCAAAATGAAATACGTTAAAAAGTGGTCTATCTTTGAAAATGACAGAGAATTTAAATGCAATACGTTAAAATGTGGTCCATCTCCGAAAGTGACAGAGAATACTTATAGTAATATTAGGTATCTCTTTCAAATATAGATTTTTATCTTTGCCACAACGCGGAATCTTCAACTATCACATACTCAACAGTGCACTGAAAAAGCACGCCGCAGATTAATTGTGGCCACCGTTGAGAATAAGTACCCTAATATACAGCTGTTGTTATGTAGCTAAACTGTGGTGCAGTCCATGCCTGCTATTATTCTCTTTGTAATTTACTAATTCCCAATGTTTACCCGCATTAGGCAGTGATAACAACTATTGCAATACGTTCCGTAGGCAATAAACCGATACCTTACGTTCCTTTGGGCCTTACTATAAGCATCCTTAAAACGAATGGATTTAATCCTCCTGTTGTATGGATTCATGATGCATCATGTATTTTAAGTGCGATTAAAACATTTCAGATAAACCCCAAAGCTGCATAAAACACACAGGCTTATTATCAATATCAATATCATCACACAACGAGTTAGAGACACGAATTAATGGACTTTGAAATAGAAAGCAATTGCAGCCCCCTGCCTCCTCGTTTCGAGATAGTTGTGGTGCACTATTCAGCTTTTTGCCTAAAAATATTTACTTTCTCGGTACAGCCATAAACAAATGGGTAAATTTGCTGGTAGAAATAGAAATAATGATGAATCTAATGAACCGAAACAAAAGGAATAACTCCATTGATAGATTGAATGAAGACTGAAAACCTCCAGCGTGATGAATGCCATTATCATGATTATGCAACTGAAAGAGAAACACTGTTATTCTTCCTTCAGGCCTAAGTCAGTTCATTACAATCAAAGGAGATGCTGACATTGATTTGTCGTAGGCGCCCTTACAAGATCAGAAAAGAGAACAAGTTGATATTGAAAACAATGTGTATATAAAACGATAGAATGGTACTAGAAAAGGCTTGGCTTCTCACCTTGAAAGTAAATAACCCCAACCAACAAAGTCAGCAGCAAATGCACCTGATTCATCGTCAGTTGTTTTGTAGCACGTGTAAAATTCTTTGTTTTTTCTAGCGGCTGATATTTCTTGTCCAAGTATCACATCCCTCTACTTGGTCAGTTGATATCATTATATACATATGGTGTCTTTACAGTATGTCGAAGTATCTCTCCTCGTCGAGCGCTATTTCGAATATCTTCTTCCCCGTGGAGTGAACCGTCTATGTGCGAAGAGGCATTGAAGCATTTGGTTCCGTTAATCAACACATTTTCATATCCGTAATCATTTACTAAAGCTGCATTCGGAAGCCTCCAACTTAGTTGTGAGCGTTACTTTTAGCCCGCTATCCAGAGGTAAAAAATATATCCTCTGTTTCGATGAAGCCGACACCTTTAAGTAGTTTGCGCTGGTGTTCTCTGTATATTTATCTATTTTCGTTCACCTAGGCTTTAACCGCTGAGATGCGTGCAGCATATGTTAAGGTCATAAAAAGGTTTGGAATTCGTTCAGGCCGGCGTTCTCACAATCTAATAGACAATCTGCGCAAAAAGGATCGCACTGGACCCAGCAAACGGCGGAATGTCCAACTTCTTGACTTGAATAACGTAGTTTCTTGACTGATCAATAGCTTTTGCAATCTCAGGACTCTGGTCCAAAATAAATTGAAATGAATAGAGTTCGATTGAAATCCAACCTAGTTTTAGCTTCCGTGGAAGGCCTATAATTGATAGTTTGACAAAGTCGACAAGGAAACGGGAAGCCCGACTTTAAAAGGACAGTATTGATGTCGTATACTTTACTGACAATATTTTGATTTTGCCGTATTGGGTATTTATAGGGACATATCAGCAAGATGATGAATATTAGGCATTAAAGAAAGAAAAGACCTTATTGCGAAAAAGAAGACGAAAAAAGCTCACGTAGCTTATCATAATGTGTCGAAGAAACTTTATTTCAGCTAATCTTTTAAGATTAAAATTTAAAGTTACACGTATGATCCCAAAATTAGAAGAATACATATTAACCCTGTTATGTCGATAAGAAAAAAAAAAAAAAAAAAGATAAAAACGTCAAAAGTGTGGAAGTATTTAAAGAAACAAAACAAAAGGAATGTATTTTGTTTAGAAACAATGAACTTTAACCGAAAACTTGAGAATTTCACTATTCGGCTGTCCCAAATAGCAAGACTTAAAAAAAAAAAAAAAAAAAAAAACAAGGGGACAGGACAAGCTAAATATTTGCATATTTATCTATTTAGGGCAAAAATGTCCAATCCGCCCCCGTTTTGTGCGTGTGGTTATTGTTTGTCATTGCAAAAAAATAGCAAAGCTTCTTTTAAACATTATTTGTCGTTTTCATTTTCTAAGTTTTTCAATATTGAGGAAAAAAGTAAGAAACTTCTTTTGTAAATTCTCGCGTGGTGACTTCTTTCCCTGTCCCGGGAAGACAGCACAAGTCGAGGCAGAATTTCGTGTAAAAGAACAATACTGGGTACTCAGATTATTCTGCAACACTAATCTTAATACACGTATTTCCTCTCTTAGTTTGCCATTCAAGACACTTCACATCGCTAAGTTTCAGTTGCTCAACACCATAAAACTGAAATCGTCGTGCGGAAACATAGGCTACACATTAAATTTGGGGCATTTGTTTGGTTTAATTTGCCGTGTGTCATTTCATCCGTATTTTGACATTCAGTTTATCTAAAATCGATAGTTTAGAAATGCATTCTCTCTATTTCAAAATGCTTTTTTCTATTAAATTGATGGCGTTGTGCGATGCATATATTTTCTAGAACTGTTTACATACCAGCCTCGCCTGTACATGTATCCCATTTAAATAAGTCACTGTTTAACCAATTTCTAAATTCTGAAGTGATCGATTTTGCGAAAGTGGTTATTGATTGAGCTTATATCTTATGTTGTGTCAAGCTCCGTCTAAGTAAATTACTGCATGGTATCTGAACTTTTTAATCTATTTTCCCTTCGTCACACCATACGTAGAGATAACTGTATGTTTGTGTTAGGAATACTACCTATCTTCAAACTATCAAAACAACGTAGCCTACAATATAGTCTTGGAAGTTTCTCCATTCATAGGTCAATAACACAATCTCATCTAACACAGTCGAAACCTGGGCGTTTCATGCACACGGTTTACGCCAATTATAATCTTATATGATCAATTGACCTATGAATTCTAACGTTGCTTCAATGAAAAATCAGAGTAAACAGGACTTTTCATTAACGGATACACCTAAAAACTACCTGCCTACGAACCATCTTAGGAAGAGACTCCCTTTCAGGCCTACGCAATGCGGTTACGTGTTCGGTTTTTTTTTTATTGAAAAGTACATGGTTGCTGTAAAACCATCGAAGCAATTTTTTTTACAAATAAATGTAGCAGAGGCGTTATCAATAACATTCTATTAGGCCTACCCATTTGATTAATAGCATAAATAGCTCCACATACTATTTTGCAAATGTAGCAGAGGCGATATCAATAACGTTTCTTTGCCCATTTGATTAATAAATAGCTCCGCTTACAATTTTGCAAATAATTTTAACGGTACACCCTAAGGTTTCTTATACACTACATAAATAACTATTGTCACTTTATGGAGAGGCGGGGTAGGCCTATGTGGCGATTTTATGAAATTCGTTTTAAAATAACGTGTAACCTTTTTGCGTTGTGGTAGACTCATGTGGCAGTTTAAAGTCGTTTTATCTTGTTTTTTTAATATTAATTTACCCGGTTTGTTAACCAATCATAGTGAGAGATCGACAATCGAGATCGAGCGTGAACCGCTCGCCTTTTATACAGAACGTAGCTTGTCTTGCGAATGTAGTGCCCTCTGTAAGTAAATAAAAGATACGTCAGTCGAACTCGATCGTTTCAAGAAAATTTAATACCGGTGTGGCGTGTAGGGCTCGGAGCGTGAACCATCCGTTCTGCACATGCGCACAAAGCGCAGGCAAATCTGAGAGACTTCGGCGTGTACAGTCCGTCTCTATCGATTTATCAAAACATTATGCTCGATTTATATAAGATTTGATAAGTAGAGGTATTTAACAGAAGACAAGAAACATGGAGTACGATGTTTGTTTACTTTTAAGATCCATTTACTTCAGGAAAACACAGCATGTAGGAGGAAATCACTAAAAGTGAAGGGACTGAGGAAGGCTGATATCGGCGATTTTTTTGGTCTACTTCAAAAGAACAAAGTAGAAAAAAAGGGGAAAAATCATCTACCAGTTGGCAAGTAAGTCTAACGTACGTTTTACTTGTTGATGTCAATTTGTAACCTTACACAGCAGGTAGAGTTACTACTACTAGTAAGTATAATGTACTACTCAGAGTAGTGCCCACTAATTTCATAATGACAAAATCAAAAATGTGTCGAAATGTGTCTACACTCTTCGGTGTATTAACAAAATCACTTGAATTACCTGGACAGATGTTCAGTAAAGATACACACAGTTGCAGTAGAAATAAACATTTTCTGCACACTGATGCTGAGAATTGCCTTTAAATTTGGTGAATGACAATTCTGTATGTCTATTATTGATTTTAAGTTATTATTACTTAAGCAAGTCCTCTCTATCTGAAATGTTTGGAATTTCGTTGCTGAATATACAATGTTGCACACTATAATAGACATTTGATTGTTTAACTAATATGTTTTAATTTGATTCTTACTACAGTGCACAGCCTAGGTTTTTTTCATAGCCATTGTTAACTGAATCGGTCTGTGGGAAGAAGTATTCAACATACTGTTTATGCTTATTTCTTCAATTGTCTTTAGTAATTCATCAACTAAGATCTATATTGTTTGACTTAAAAGGTGAGAAGAACTCTAATAACAAGCTGTAAATGCAGAGCCCTGGAATCATTATTTCAACACATGTGAAAGAAAGATGAATTTTGTAGATAAAATTCACTTTTTGGGCTTGTAATAAAGAACAATCATACATGTACCTAATATTTCATTGAAAATTGGCAAATCTCTGATGAAAATTATGTATTTTTAAATTGTTCTTATATATATATATATACCTTCTTTAAGTTAATCATATAATCAGATATATTCCAAATTTAACTATGTATAGTAAGTACAAAATATATGTATGTGTATGGAGAGTTGTTGGTTTCCTTGTAAAGAAAGTCAAACAGAAATAGTCTCATAATAGGAAGAAGGGTTTGTCTCCAACTTTGTTATTAGGTAATTTCCTAATTACTTTTCAGCTTGCAGGCTTGTATCTGTGGTCCTTACCAAGATAATCATTAAGTTAAAAAAATAAAATTTTTATTTAGCTCACTCTTTTCCTAAAACACTGAAACAAAGATATTAAAGTAGGTCACCTGTTAGATTTTTTAACTTGATTATACGGTCTTAACCATCTGTATGTCTGAAATCAAGTGAGTTTTTTTATCACAGGTGGACTGTTTTCAGTTTGAATATCTTGAAGAATTGATTTGATTAAAGGTACATATGTTTGTGTCACTTTGACTTAGTTAAAATGTCATTTTTGGCTTAAGCTCAGAGCTAATCACCTGTCAGTTTTGGTCTGACATTATGAGAACAATGAAATGACAACGCTCAGGTACAGCATAAGCTTAGATCTTATCAGGAGATAACATCACGAGTTACGGTTGATTGTTCATAAACTGTCTTATTGCAGCATTATTATCTGATAACTTTCACTTACTTTTTAACCAGCCTAATCAAGATGACTGACACTTTAAGCATGATGGCTTTAAAAAGGAAGAAAAAACTCCTCCTCATATTGCCCAGCAGCTTTCAGAGAGGGAAAATGTCTTCAGGGTGCAGTATTTATTTTGATGTTCCTCAGACTGTGCATGTTTGTGTAGCAACTTCTTTATTATTGTTGTAAATTGAAATATCTGGATGTAAATTTGAAATATTTGGATGTAAATATGAATATAAACTAGGAGCCACACTATTGGTGAACATTCAGATTTAAAACCTAATTAGATGGAAGTTATGGTCCTTCTTTTTCTGCAGAAGGCATAATGAGCAATGTTTTTATTTGTGACTTTATACATTTTTCAGCATGGCTACAAAAAATGATGACTTTATTACATTTATGAGGGAAGTGAAGTGGTACATACAGTACAGGAGACAGAGAGACTTTTTGGAAGACCCTAAAGAATTAAGGAAAATAAGAGAAGAGCACAGACTCATGTTTTAGATGATGAAGGTCAGTAGTTGTAGTTAGGAATATCAGATTGGTTTTTAAAATGAGTCCAGATGTCTGGCAAAGAAATCATATTTTCCATCTAAGTCAATTCTGATTCATGATATGCTCCTTACCTCACCCTTACAGTGCATCATGATGTGTGGCACAATATCTAGATATCACTCTGGCTGGTAAACCATTATTATCCAAGATAGATGGTTGAATGGCTTCTATCCCTTTGCAGGATTCTTTATATTTTGTAGTAAACAATGAATATACGTTCTAAATTCCATGTGTATTTGATGTACGGGAATGCATATAAGTAACTTTTTTCTCTTCAGAAAACCTTTATTATGTTGGCAAACGTGACAAATCAGGCATCAGACAAAGAGTTATTTAGGATGTAGAGGATATGTCTGGTACAAGATGACACAGGATGTAAAAGAATATGTAAGTATGTCTGAGCAAAACAGGTACACTTTGTTTTAAGCTCTTCTATATAAAGATCTTCAGGTACATTTCTTAATATGTATGTATTATCAGATACTATTCTGATCAGAATAAGCCATATCAACTTATTGTACTTAATACACATGGAAATTCAAACATTAGCTTTTTGCTTTAAAGAGTTTTCTTATATTTTTACTCCCTGATGATGGTGACTGACAGTCACAGAAATATTGGAGGTAATACCAACATATTTTATAAGCTCTTGATAAAAAGAATAACAATAATTTTAATTTATAAATACAGAGATAATGAAACTGTTCTCTCATTTTCTTATTATGTTCACTCCAGAAACAGTGTGTTTGTAAACTATTCAGCATCAGTAACTGATTTGTAGTAGTTTAGGAGTTTTCAGTGTACTTGTAGTTTTATTATTTTTGCATAATAATAAGAAGGATCACAATTGATATATGTCAGAAAAATTTATCTTTCTGCTGCAGATTGAAGCGTGTGATAATAATCAATATGTATGTCATGTAATGTAAAAGGTTTATTAGAGCATCTGCACAAATGTTGGTAACATTCAGACTTTAAATTGTTGCGTCTGGTTACCTCCACAATATGAAGCTGTTCATAATGTTTCAAAGTGGTTAAATAGCATTTGTACTTGAACCTTAGTCATATTAGTACAGGTGCTTATTTTGTAATATACTTCTCTTATGTATAGACATGGCATCCCTCACAAAACAAAGATTGAATATGTCTCTTCTTGTATAGCATAAGAGATAAAATTTTAAAAAAAACCTTTCCATTACATTTTATTGTTGATGACTAGTTTTATTTTTCTGTTACCTATTTAGTCTGTACATTTGGTAGCTTGTCTTGTAGCATTTACCAAGTTATCAGAATATAATTTTTTTTTTTAATGTATCCCTCGAAATAGTAGCTTTATTTACTTAATTACTGGTTAAATTAACAGAAACTACAAGCTTTGAAAAACCTTTTTCAGGTATAAAGGAATTTTTAACTGTCTTACACTTTTTTCACTCTTATTTACAGAAGCTATCCTTAAAGGAGCTGGACTGAACAGTATCGACAACACACACTGCAAGTGGTTTAGGGAATAGGTTAGACAGAAAATAAGAAAGAGTGGAAGAAAGTCAGAGGATGAAGCCTGCGACTTAGCATTCTGCCAAAATAAAGGATACCATCGATGGATACAGTGTAACACGCCAAAGTTGGCTACATACCATTTGTGCTAAAGTCAAATGTTCTAAAAAAACACTTCCTAAAACCCAGTTTACATGCCCAATGTGCATTTCTGTACAAGGTTAGCAGAAAATTGCATCTGTATTACTGGTTTAAAGTTTTCTCAACCCATAACATAATGCAATTTACATATATTTATATGATAGTACTGAAATCTGATAAAGTTTTTAAAATAGTTTTCGATGCAAACTGAGACTGAAATAAAAACTTAAAATTTTATTAGAACATTTGATTTAGTACATGCTACAAAAGTGTATCGATTTAATGAAAAAAATGATAATCATCCACTTGCAGGGATCCCAGGGACCTACTATATTGTCACTTATTTTACATGTACATGACTTATTACTGTAAGGTGAGAATAAATAAAATAAAAGTCTTGTAACTAAGACAACTTGTTTTAGCATATTTATTCATTTTATGTTACTTTTCTCCTAGACCAGCATTTGTTGGTCTAAATAATTGTATTGATAACCACTATACATTTTGTAAAAGGCTCTATAAAGAAGAAGAATAAATGCTGAAAGCAAAAGGATGTTACAGTAACCAAAAAAAAATCATTTGTAAAAGCTTTCTAAATAGCTATATGGAATGTTTCCAATAACCATTAAATGAATAAGGTATCAATTCTCCGAAAATAATGATAAGGTAAAAGTAAAAACTGAATGGAAACATATGTATACATCGTAGCAGTTATAGCTAATAATCTGTATGACAGTGAAATTAATTAATCAAAAAAATACTTCATTTGAGTATATATGACATTGACCTTGTAAAGAACACACTGCAATAGTTACATTATACAAAATATACAAATAAGAGAATAAAAAAATGTATAAGAAATATTAGAAAATCAATCGGATGTGCTGTCCAAAACACTTTCGTTCTCACCAATTCTGTCAACACTTGATGTTGGTAAATATGAGGCATCTAAACAACCTCCACAACTTAATTTTCAATTGTCTCAACATAACTAATTTTATGAAATTATCGAAAAAAATGGGGGGGGGGGGGGGGGGGATAAATTATTTGTTTGTGATGTTCAAGTTATTGCAGCAATTACTGTGAAGGCATATATCCGAGTCTGACCATTATTAAGCGCTGCTTCTTCCTTAGCAAACCCAATCACCCAACAAAAAATTACAAATATTCATCAAAAATTGTGACCAAAATTGTCCAGACAATAAAAGATAACAAACATACCTAGATCTATACACAAATGAAAATGAAAAGGCAGAAATCAGCTTTCATGCATGGTTATTAAAAAAAATAATGTGACAATTTTTGTGAAAAAAAAGTATGTATCCACCTGACAAGGACAGCACCACCCCAAGGATCATAGTGTCAGTCCTAGTGTTGTTGTTCCTTTTATTATAGATAAAATGTCAAGTAATATTTATAAAAATTCACTTACCTATAATATACTTCGTATAAAATAATAATCAAAACAAAAGCAAATCTCCGTGCAACAATGGCCAGGGACCACAACTCCAAGGATACACAGGATGGATCTTGACTATTGATTATAAATATAAAATAAAAAATCTTCCTTGATGTGAGTCTAAACATATTGATGCCAAAAATTGGAATCATCAACTCGCAAGAGCAGCCCACCTCCCAGTCACAGTAAGATTCCAAAACAGGACACGTACAGGTACATGAACATGTCCCGTTGATGTGCCTACTAACATTCAGATATTCAGTTTCAGTTTCCTCAATCTAATGGTCTACAAGGGCAAACACCCCATGATGAACGAGCAGGATATCATGATCCCAGACTTTGTCACATACAATATAAAGTACATATATTACTTTAATAAACATTATTTTAAGTATACACTGTTAAGAACAAACTGCAAATTCAAACATAATCTTTAGAAATATTCATATCTTATTAGTTGTTCATGTAAGATGTATAGCAAGTATTTATTGTTTACAATGTACTTCTACTGCAATTTCCTTCAGGTGGCTATATATCAACACACTATCCTAGTAAAAATCAACACAATAAAACCCAATAAAACATGTAGTAGGCCAACAACTGAATAACGACGGCCTGTCCACGGTAGGTTCATCCATGCAATGCGTCGAAGTAATTTTCTATCAAAATTATCAATTACAAACTCTGTATCAACCCATGAATTTTACCTAGAAATACCCCCATTATAGTAAATATATAATGATGTAGGAAACGAACAGGCCAAATCAATGCACTAGCCAAGTATAACAGTGTAGGTGAATAACAACGGATCATTCACGGAACGGTTCATACACGCGACTGCTGCGTGTACAATCGGTCAGGACGGATGGTTCACGCAGAACGGACCGTACACGTGACACCGGTACGTATACGTCATGTTTTGGTCTTTGTCACGCTCGAGCGTGGTCTTTGTCACAGGGCAATATATAAAGAATTATTTTACAAATAAGTCTAAATATCTTATTCTTTGTAATTTTTAACTATGCATGCCGTTCTTGCTAATGTTTTATGCCGGTGTATTTTGCAAAGATTTAGTTTTGTAACAAGGTGTCTTTGTTATAGTAACGATAAAATCGCTGATGTTTGTCGTGACTTATGTAAATTGTATCATATGAAAGCATATCAATCAGTACAGTGGATATATATATATTTGCCTGTAACATCGATCGATACCTGAAAAGATTCGTGCATGCATGATCCATAACATGTACTGTATGTACTGGTACCTGTACGCCATTAGGCTTTCATTATGCCTTTTCTAAAAAAAGTGCTTCGTCACCAATGCAATATGTGATGTTTATTGCACCAGGCTTAGATGATTAGGGCTCGTCAGTCCTTTAAAATAGATCCACATACTTATACAGAGTATTTAGACGTGTCCTTATACAACTGTATGGTACTTATAAAATATAAGCTGGGTCTAAAGCTCCAATTGCGTTGTTCACGCGTTCGATTTCACACATGTATGTCAAAGACTGTTCATCATTTTGTCACTTTGAAATTTAGCCAAATTATATCTCAATCTTAGTTATGTTATTTGCACAAATTAGATTTTTGTCAACTGTAGTTAAATTACCTTTCAGAAACCATGGATCCTGAACAGGTGAATCAGCCTGATCAGCTCTTGCCTCAGGAAGACACTGAAGTCAAATTTAATTACAAATACAAATACTACACACTGCCTGCTGTGAGATATGTGAACTTATTGAAGTTGTTTCTAATACTGGATGGAATTTCTGTCCTTGTGCTGTGGTTAGTAGGTAAGTGATGCTGAATTTTCACATACTGGGGTACCTGACAAAACTAGTGACATGTTTTATGATCAAATACATAATTGATGAAGAAATATGGTTTCTTATGATTGTCATATCTATTTGTTGTAAAGATAGGCTCTTTTCACACCTTATGGAAGAGTTTTCTTTTTTTCGCCATTTTGAAAGATTAGCCTGGCTTTTAAAATAGTCATTAAGACTGAGCCCCCACATTCAACATGGCCATGCATGCAGTTAAAAACTTTGTTAGTATTGTCTCTTTGGAATTTTTTTAAATACAGCACTTTGACTGATAATTATATATATTTTTTTCTAATTTTAAGGTGGCAACAGTGTTTACTTTGAATACAGCATCACTCATTTTCACTGGACTGAATCCGTCTTTGACACAGTCTTAGTAACAGTTACAAAGGTGGTCATTCTATTCGCCATCTACTCCTTGCTGGAGGATGTTTCAATGAAGCTAGTAGATGAACCATTTAACTCGACTTTACAAGGACATAAAAGATGGCTGCATGCATTTTGTATACTATTCAGTATTTTGTGCCTAGCACATGCATCAACCAAGGGAGGATTTGTATTATATCGCTACTTACACGACTCAGACTACAGTGGAATGCATATAACATACTATGTGGCCCTCATCACATCAGCAACATTTTGCTTTCTGGAGACTTTGATGTCTCTCTTGAGTTTTACTTTCATGCAGAGGTTAAAAGTGTTCCGAGTTTTGCACAGACTTGATGAGCATTATAGGGAGTTGGATGAAAATGGAAAACCTATCAAGAAAAAAGTTGATCTTAAAAGGATGCTTTCTTTGGCAAAGCCGGTAAGTATGTAAAAATGGCACGGAACATTTAGCACTTCCACAGCTAAGACACAAAATTTGCACTAGCACATACCATGTTTGTTCTTCAGTAGTTTGCTCATAAGCAGTCAACACAGAAGACATATTCAGGGGCGGATCCAGAGATATTTTCTGACAGTCTTCCAAATTATCTTTGTTGATCCATCCACCATTTCTGACCGTCTTCCGACAGAAAAAATTAGATACCCGTCAATGTAAACTTGAAAATCTGACCGTCTTCCGGAAGACCCAGAAGACCGCCTAAATCGGCCCCTGATATTACAGACAAATTATTGAATTTCCTCTTAAAAGTGACCAGTTTCCCCTATATCATTGGTATATACCCAGGAATGTCTAAGAAATTATTTTTGGAGCACAGTTTGTTTTGAATTAGGGCATTACTTCTTAAAGTAGGTGTTTTATTTACATATCTTACTTTTATGAATGCTATCTCTTAATTTAAATTGCAACACACAGCAACTAATTGTGACAAATTTTGATATAAATTGCGTCTTATTCTATTAAGTGATGGGACAAATAAAGACTGTCAGTATCCCTCAATATTTATAGTTAAACATTTTACATTTTGACTTTTTAAATTAGTACAAAATAAAATTTACATGTGCAATACACTACAACTCTGGCCAGATTATTATTTTTATCATTTTTGATATTTTAATGTAGGAAGCTGGCTTAATCACCGTAGCAACCCTGTGTCTGTTAGTCTCCAGTGGCACTACAATGATAGCACCACTGTTCTTTGGTAAGGTGGTGGATGCTGCACTTATATCTATGGGTAAGTTGATAGAAATGCCATAAGGTTTGTATAATACATGTGAGGTGTCTTTTGTAGGTGTCAGGAACATGAAAGAAATGTTAGGATGTACATAAGCATATAACTTGTAAATGGTTCCTGTTTTAGCTACTTGGGATGTAAAGTACATAAGGGACCCAGTTTTATTTAGACCTAATTTTTACGAAGAATATGTGAAACATCTTTATAGGAACTTTTTTTTTCTCTATGGGAAGTCGGTTGTCAATATGAGTAGTTAACAAGTAAATAGTATTTGTTTTATTTTCAGAAAAACTGAATTTGACGATTCTCATTTTGGGCTTAATATATGGAGTTGGATCAATTTTTTCCTTTTTACGGGCATGGTTTTTTACCCTATCTGGACAAAGACTGGTAGCACGTCTCAGAAAAGATCTATTTAATAGTGTGATCAAGCAGGAGGTGGCTTTCTTTGATGTCAACAGGTGAGTGAAAGATATGTATTTAAGTTGTTTATATATCTTTGGATGGGGGTGTAGAAAAGGGATGTTGCCCAAGTATGTAAATTATCTTTAAAAAGTTTTACAAAAACATTTTTACAAACCTATTACTATACTACAAATCTGTGTCTTCACTTCCATCCAGGACTGGAGAGCTGACCAACAGGCTGTCATCAGACACTCAGGTTATCCAGAATGCCATCACAGTAAGTTATATATATTTTGACATTTAACCTTCTGATGTACTTAAGGCCTTCTATGTGAAAAAATTCATTTCTAATTATGTTTTGGTGTAATAAAAATGTATTTATGTAACATAAATGGGTGGATATCCCGAATGCCGTCACAGGAAGTTATATTTTGACTTCAGGCCCTTTTGGGAAAGGAACCGCAGAGAGGAAAAAATTCATCTCTCAGGCATTTAGCAATGAAATCAATATATTTAGGTCTAAGATAATTTACCAAATTTTATGTGGATATGTCAGTCACTATTTATCTATTTACACATTTAGGGATATAATTTAGATGTGTTTTAATTTCAGCATTAAAATGTCGGTCTACTGATAAATTAACTCTATATTTTAAACTGCATAATGGTATTTTTATCTTAGGTGAATATGTCAATGCTGTCCAGGAATATACTTCAAATCATTGGATCTTTGGTTATAATGTTTGTCCTGGATCCAGCTTTAACTGGTGTACTACTGTCTGTGGTGCCTATAGTGTCTCTTGGGGCAGTGCAATATGGTGAGTACATGTATGTCAGCACAACAGTGATATGGTGCTGTTTTTCTGATTCGTGCTAATGAAAAAGAAGAAAGCTGGACATGTATTGATCAGTATTGTCTGTGAGTTGATGTAATAGGGGGTTACTTGAGTTTTTTAACATCTTCCACTGGACAGGTATTGCGGGTGTACCATATAATGCAGCCTTGTTCTAGCAGTGTAATATTCCAATTGTATCTGTGGTACAGGTTACATGGTGAAGAATCTTCGGCAGAAGTTTCAGGACCGTCTTGCAGATGCCAGCACCACTGCAGAGGAGGCTTTGTCTAGTATCAGGACTGTGAGAATGTTCACCAGTGAGAAGAAGACCTCTCAGCATTATGGATCTGATATTGACAAAAGCTACCAAGTTGGAAAGAAGTTGGCCCTTGTTCAAGGTTAGTTTCACATTAAAAAACTCCCTTGATCAGGTATGCCATTAGGTAATAAGTTTGATAATATATGTGAATATTTACAGGTTGTATCTTAACCCAATCTACTACAGTACATGTGGGTTATCAGATATAGTTATGTATTGTATAGATCATTGTGGTGGTCTATTTTGAAATTCTTCTATAAAATGATTACCTTTTGTCTCTCCAAGCTGTTCCCGGGTTTGGCTGTTATCTGCATCTGAAAAGAATACATTAAAGAGCAATATCTGGCCAACATTCTCCTTTCTTAATGTACCCGACTGTTTTGTTAGACCTTAATTGTTTTTGAAGTGATGAAGGTCTACTTAATTCATATACCTCATGATAGAATTAGTGCATTTGGGCTAAGAGATTAAAAAATATTGGATAACTATTTGATGTTTCTCTCTGTAGGTGGATTTGATGGAGTGATAGGTATCATTGCTTATGGTGCCATTGTGTTGGTATTGTGGTATGGAGGAAAACTGGTGAATGAAAAGCAGTTATCTCCTGGGATATTAACATGTAAGATTTGTAGAACCGGTGCATTTAAAGAGGAGTTTGATAGCGTATTGATCAGTGGTGATATTTACATTGTGATTGATTTGACATTCCTATTGCCTGCCTCTCCCCCCTCCCCACAAACAAACACACATGCAAATATACACAAAAAAACAACAACTTTAATAGAGATTAGAAAAGGTTAGAGAAAGGTGATCTGATACCTTTTGGTGCTAAACATTACAACTGAACTTCCTTAGATAACAGAAGTTTCAATCTTGTCGCATGATCTTGTTTAACCACCATAAAGAAGTTTATTGCTTATAGTACTTTTTTAGGATAATTATGCAAATACTCTATATTTCCCCAATATCTCACTTAAATACTTTAAGTTATTTCCATTTTTCTTAATTTCAGCCTTCTTGCTGTATACTCTCCAAGTAGCTATGAGTTTTGCTATGTTGTCTTCACTTTATGGAGATTTTATGCAGGTAAAGTATTGGTTGTGTTGCACTTGATGAATGTAATGTTGTACATTCATGCAATCAAAGATTATCAAGATTTATTCATTTTATTTCACTTTAAAGTGAATTGAAAGGAGTTATTTTTTGAATTTTTGAATTGTTCATTGGATTCCAATATATAGACTTTTTATCTTATTAGGCTGTTGGAGCTTCAATTCGCATATTTGACCTGATGGACAGGAAGCCAGAAATCCCCATTGAAGGTGGTTCACAGATTGTGGATATGGAAGGATGTGAGCATGTGTTTACTTGGTTGTAATAACAACATATTACACTGTGGAGCTGGTTTGATTAAAATGATTTACTTTTTAATTAGTAGATTTTTTTGAAAAGCAAAATATTGATATGATAACATAGATTTGTATAATTGTTGTTACATTGTTATGACTAGTGTAGAGAGCCTGTAAAATGTAATGTGTATGTATTTTAGTGCTCAATAAAGATTATATTTATATTTAAACACATGGCATTAGTTTGCTTCCATAAGTTATTGCACTATATGGTATCTATTAAACATAAGTATCTGATAAACAATTTTGGTGCTTACTATGATGTGTCTGTCAGGACTTTGTCTTTGAAGTAAAAAGTATTTCAATAATTTCCTTGTTATTCCAGCTGTAGAATTCCAGGACGTGTTCTTTACATACCCATCCAGACCAGATACACAGGTGCTAAAGGTGTGTTGATTTTGGGTCATCTTTTGTTATAATAAATACCAGGGGCGGATTTAGGCCGTCTTCTGGGTCTTCTGGAAGACGGTCAGATTTTCAAGTTTACATTGTCAGCCATCTAATGTTTTCTGTCGGAAGACGGTCAAAAATGGAAGATGGATCAACAAAGATAATTTGGAAGACTGTCAGAAAATATCTCTGGATCCGCCCCTGAATACTGTTTAAAAATACTATTTGTTGAATGCTGTAAACGTTTGGTTGAATTGTTATCTTTGCTTTATTCAGGAAATTCTTCTTAAGTATTTCAGTAAGAAGCAGCTATATACCTTATTTATTTATTATTTTGACAGGGTGTTTCCTTCAAAGTGGAACCTGGCCAAGTGGTAGCACTGGTGGGGCCATCTGGTGGTGGGAAATCCACCATTGTGAATATGATTGAACGTTTCTATGATCCAGAGTCTGGGTGGATCAGACTGGGTGAGTTTGGGGGAAAATACTGTATATAGCTGTATGAAATATGCCGGACTGCAATCCACTAAAAATAAAAAAGGCTTGTTGAAAATGTTGCTGAACATGTAATCCACATCAGTTTTCCAAAGCATGTCTTGATTATCATCATCATTTGGTAAAAAGAAAAAAATTCTCACCAATACTTGTTCAGTCATTAAAAATGATTTCATACATTTAGTCAGGAATGAAATAACATGAATGATATGTAATTTTTAGGAGGCAATGATCTTACTACACTGGATCCCCAATGGTTTAGACAGCAGATTTCTATGGTTAGCCAGGAACCAACACTGTTTGCCTGTTCAATAAAAGACAACATATCATATGGCAAAGATTGCACACTAGAAGAGGTAAGTAAAATGCTGCCCATTAGAGTACAAATAAGAGTAGACATTAGGCTTGTACTTTTGTGTTGAATCCTTTGATTTTGGGACCAGATTTGATGTATTTAAAATATTCATGGTTTGAATTACGTATTAATTTATGACAATAAAAAACTGTTATCCTTCTCTTTGAATGTTATATAAGATTTTAAGAAATTTGAATATGAAAATCTGGAACAGGTTTCCTTTACATCAGGTATAGTAATGTAAACCACTTGTGTACAGATTGAGTATTTTCTCAACATTTCATGTAATGTATGTTTAAGAACTGTTTTTCTTCTATCAGGTGGTGGAAGCAGCCAAACAAGCCAATGCTCATAATTTCATAATGGGTTTTGAAGAGCAGTATGATACTCTTGTTGGTGAGAGAGGAGTGCGGCTGTCTGGAGGACAGAAACAAAGAGTGGCTATTGCCAGGGCTCTTATTATGAACCCTTCCATACTTTTACTTGATGAGGTAAACACTGGAACTCACCTCTTACACAATGTCTCATCTGGTACACCATTCTGAGTAAAACAGCTACCATCATCAGTTTCTTTTATTTTTGTTTTTTAACAGGCCTTATATAATTTGATATTTAAAACAAGCAACAAGCAGAGAGGTGTGTGTGATAATAAATATGTGTGTGTGTGCAAAACTGACTAGTTTTGCCTATAGCATGCATTTAGTTTCAAAGCTAAAAGCCCCATATCTGTCATTTATAGGCTACAAGTGCACTGGATGCTGAAAGTGAACACCTGGTACAGGAAGCCATAGACCACGCCATGAAAGGCAGAACAGTGATTGTCATTGCTCATAGATTATCAACTGTCAGAAATGCGAATGTAGTTAGTAAAGGAACTGACCACCATTAGAATTTTTCTCCTTTGCCTATTGGCAAAATGTATACAATATAAGAAACTCTATTAAACCATTTTGCAACATTTGGTCTGTGAATAAATTGAAAATAAAGAGCTCTATCCACAACACTGGAAAAAAGCCAAATCTACCCTTAGAAATGCTTTTCTAGTATGAAGGTTCCAAAGAGTCCTTTGCTTAATTTTAGGTTGCTGTAGTGGACAAAGGAAAAATAGTAGAGCAAGGAACACATGAAGAGTTGCTGGCTCAAGATGGGGTATACAAAAGATTGGTGTTGAGACAGCTGATGGCTGGGGCAACAAATGGTTTAGACTTTAATATAAATAATGATAAAGATGATAGCAATGGCCATTTACTTGACTAAATATAGGTAAAGTTAATAAGCAACAGTGTCTTATTTATTTTACGATCCTGTGTCTCACATTTACCAAGCATTTCTATATATGTGGTACAGGAAGCCACACACATACACATTTATATGTCAGTCACAGCTATTGTTAGCACCAAATCTGGAGATGCTTTATATAAAAGGACACAGTATATACAATTTTACGTTTGTATTTGATGGTAACATTACATAATGACAGATATGCAGGGTTTATAGTTTTTTTTACTAATTTTAAAATTTATTTGTAGTACATGGATTTTTTTTTCAAATTTATTTTTAAATTTATCATTAAAATATATCATAATATCAACCACTGTGATACACAAGTTTATTTCATTATTTAAACCAGAAAATAGGGCTTTTTTATGGGTATACTTGTTCATCACCTTAATTTTTTCTGTTGATACTACAGGCTCCCCGAGTTTCAGCATACACTCTCTTTTAAGAAATACTATGTATATGCTAATTGTAGATAAATATTTGATACTCGGGGTCCCTTAAAGCCACCGTCCTCTGCAACAATGCTTTAAGACAAAAACTTACATGCTAGATGGCACTTTACTTGTGAGTGTGCTTAAAGCAAAGGTGAGAACTTTTTGTATTGAGATAAAGGTGTGCTTCTATTATATTTACTTAAAAGATTTAAACTGATTTGTGAGTGATATTTGAGGTCTCACACATAGACTTACATTGGGTAGGGATGATAACAAATAATTACGAAGGGCACCTTAGTATGTAGATCTTTAAAGATTGGTGGTGATTATGCTGTTAATCATTTTTAATATTGCATCAAAATTGACAAATAACCTTATTTTGTGCACTGCCACGGCAAACACTATGAAAGAAAAGTTGTGTTACTTTTTATTTTGTAACTTACAAGAATTATTCTTTGGATTGACATACAGGTCAAATTGAAACCAGCTTGATTGGATTTTGTTAATTATGGGAGTTTTTTTGTGCATTTCTAATTTTTCTTATTCTGGCATTTCCATGTGAGAATTTGAACTCTAATGAACCTAAAGTCTGATGTAAGTGACAGTCCCTATGCCCATGTTAAAGTGCATGTAAAATTTAGTGTTAATTTTGGTATTAAACACAATGTATTAATACATCAAAATTGACAAAATAACCTATTTTGTGCATCTTTATTTTTTGCTTTTTGTTTGTACATTTGACAGCTTTGCTGCCTTGTTGCATTTCGAGATGAATGTTTTTAAAAAATTCATCAGCCAGCCTTCTTGCCATAGTATCAGTGAATGTGAAGATTTTTCCCTTTGATTTAAATCAAAAGAAATTTAATCTTTATGCTGCTTTTACTTTTTTTTGGTGTTTTCATGTGGGCACTTGCCAGCCTCCAGAAATTTTAAAGCTTTATTTGAAAAATAAAACTAACAATATATTAAATTGGAAATTTTTATTGAAAATTAACTTACAGCACATAACAAAAAACTCCTTAATAATAATTCTAATAAAAAATGTGATATTGAGAGGAGCTTAAAATGCAATTTAAACTTTTTCATATAATATGATTTTATTATGATCTTTATCGTCATTTTGGTGTATTATTTGCACATATAACTCAACAGAACAAAAAATGTATAAAATATTTCTCTTCTCCATCCAAATATAATATTGTAACAGAGAAAGAAAGATTATTGAGAAAAGCAAAAGAAAATGCTGATATCTTAGAAGCACATGCTGAGGCTGCAGAGCAGTCAGAGCCCTAGAACGACAGAAAGAGATAGCTATGCCAACAGAACACAAAGCCCAGAATGCAGTCATAACAGAAACAATCACCCCTACACTAAATCACCCAGCACCAAATGAAATAACACCCCTATTTTACAGAATTAACAGTCCTAGCCGTACAAGTACACAGAATAACTGTGAAATTCCTTGCCCAGACAGACACTATTTAGTGGAAAAGAATCATGGGAGGGTTTTATTGAGCCATTCAAAGCTCGAAGCCAGACTTGTGAAGGGAGTGAGTCAGAAAAACTGTTTAGATTATGTAACAGTCTGCGCGGTGAGGCTGCTGATTTCGCCTTTGTTCAGTTTCTAGCAGAGGTAGTGAATTCCTACCCTCTGCTACAGAAGGCGTTGCAAAACTGGTTTCAAGAGAAGCACACTACAAGCTCCTATTTATCAGAGCTAGAGAACAGAAAGCTCAGTCCAAAAGAAAAACTCCCAAAATACATCTCCGATATTAGAAAGCTAGTATTAAAGGGCAACCCCATGGCTAACTGTACCGCCCGTGAGACAATTGCATTGCACCACTTCATAAAAGGTTTGCCAGACCACCAAGCCGCCGTGGCAGTGGGCAAGAAAACACCCATAAATCTGGAGGAAGCGAGGGAGGCCCTGGAGAAAAGTATCTTGTTCCCAATACAGATACATATACATGTGACTTGTTAGTGTTCTTAGAAAATAAAAGAAGAAAACCAAATTGAAGTGTTGTGCAGTTTTTCACAGAGCAGAGTCTGGTGGCAGCCATCTACTTAAAGAAAACCCTGATGAGGTTTTGAAAGAAAACCCTAATACAGAGTAAAGAGACAACATAACACTGGCAACAAGAACCTTACAATATAAAGGTAAACCTAATTTTTACCAGCATACATTTTTACAGTGTTTGTCTCCATTCTTTTTCAATGCAATTAAAGTCACTTTAAATTAAAACAAATAAAATAGAAACTAGATGAGCTTTCCCACTTCAAAATTTTTAATACAAACCCAAACTACACCCTTGTAATGACATTTAATTGTTGGCAGCATAGAATATTAAATGTGCATTTGGTCAATATATTCATACATGAAAAACCAACATTAAAGTTGGATACAATTGTGCACTTTTTACTGAAACTCTGGGATATGTCAATACAGAAAATACTAGTTTGAATGACAAAGTGCCTACATTGAACTACATAACCCCATAGGTCACGAGTTTAGAGGTGCTTGATACACCTAGCAAGCTTCACTTTCGTCCATCATATTCGAGAATTACAAAGAATAAATAAATAAATAAAAATAATGAAAAATATTAATGATGATATGTGTATATTCTAAAAGCGTTATATTCAAAATTGGGAGAAAAAACGTTAAGTTTTATGTCGATAACTTGATAGGTAAAAGACCATGGACGGAGTTGACACAATATACAAAAACTACAGAAAAATAAGCTCTAATGCTATTACAAATATAATATAGGGGAATGTAAGTATATAATCATGAAAAGTGCATAGACATGTGACCACATTCCTGTGTGTACAAAAAAAAAAATAGTTTGAAACAACATAATCAAAATTCTCTGGTCTACAGAGAAAAATATTACTGAAAACAATTGTATCGGTTCCTTTGTGACCTCTTATGTTCCAAGCTCTTGATAGCAATAAGTGGGACTGTTTGTAGAACTGTGACTTGAAATTATTATGACATTTGATTGAGTTTGTCCAACTTCCAGTTTTTGAATTTAATATCTCTATCCAGTTATCAACTCAAAAGTAAAAGCACCTATTTTGACCACTTTCCACTTATAGGTGTTCACTTGGTATAAGTAATGTGAACAATTGCATGGAAATATTGTATTTTTACTTTGGATTGAAATGCAATGTATAATGATTGGTATTAATTTCCTTTTTTAAAAAGTATGTATATCATTTCTTTGAGATATAAATATAGTCTATCTACAAAGAAAACGGAAAGATATAAGACAACAAAAATCACACACACACAGCCCCTCTCCAGTTTTTTTAGCTTCTTGGGCACAGACAAAGAATTATCTTTATTCCGTGCTTGAAAAACTTGACTTTGCAGCACCAGAAAGATATCTGACGTGACACTTCCTCACTGACAGCACTTGCTTTTCTTGCTTTTGTCATACATATTTTCATTATTCTTGTCAACTTCTGGAAAAGGATAAACATTAACCGTTATTGAGCAGCTGCAGCAGTATCAATGTGAGAGGGCTGTGTTTTCACTTTGCTATGAGCTTAAGACAAATGTATAAAATTTGTCCATGAATAATTTATGCTTAAAAGAATTAAAATTCTAGAAGTGAAGGGTTTGACTAATATGTTAAATCTTACTTATGCTTCCAGTTCCCAAATGTCCTATTTGCTTTCCAGCAGTTGTTGTTTCCACTTCATCTAGAACTGCTTTGTCAAACATGAGTGATGACAGGCGAAAGAAAAACTCTTGGACATTTTCACCTAAAATGATATGAAACTCAACCAAACTTTTCTTCTGTTCACAAATGAAAAATACAAAACAATTTCATGATTTATGATATTATTTTGACTATAAAAAAAGATCAATAATGTCTCCAAACTAGTGTGTTAGTACAAAATAATTTCCAAAACTGTCAGATAACATTTTATCTGGCAAATTTCAATTAATTCTGTCGATGATTAAATAAAAGGATCAAAATACATTCTTTAGAATAAATGAAGTTTTTTCAGGCAATTATTGAATTTAAAACTTACCTGTCTTGGATGACACCCCCCAAAATTCTGCTTTCAACTGGTCTGCCATATCTAGTGCTTTGTCTTCAACATCTTTGTAAGTTGCTTCTGACTATTTTATCACAAAAACAACATCCCTGTTTATATAAATCATTTAGTCATTTTCCAATTATCAAATATCTCTGCTACTAAACTTAACAACATGCAAGCAATGATAAAAATATCAAAACTTCTATTAAATTTGTGATGCATTCTAAAATTAATCACCTTTCACTTTTTCAAAATAAAATAATTTAATTTTCTGATTGTAAACTATATGAAAAACAGACTCTTATAGTCTGAAATAAGCAAAAAATATTCTGTAGGTATCTCACCACAAGGTCCTTCTTGGTTCCAACCAAGAAAACCAAAGGGTCATCTGCACTTTTATTGGCTTCATCATACCATTTCCTTGTATTCTCTAGAGACTGAATATCACCCAGGTCAAATACCACAATCACAACTGAAAAAATTGTAGATTTAATTAACCATTTAAAGTTATAAGAAGTGCCTTAGTTTTAAACAAATCAACTACACTATTCATGTTTGTTAAACCTTTAAAATCAAGACAGTTCTAAAGTTTTGTTGAAATTTCTAACCTTAGATGTTGTACAGAATAATATCACATTTACCTTACAGCAAAAGTACAACATGTTCAAAACAAGTACAATATATGTTCAATACAACATTACAATATCTACAGAAAATCAGGTTCACTGCAATTTCCTTTAAATGTTATTCATCTTGATGGTTCTAAGCACCTTTCTGTCTTTACCATAAGAACAGTTTCCTTTCAGAACTCACCATTTGCTCCTCTGTAGTATGATGCAGCAATACATTTGAATCTTTCCTGACCAGCAGTATCCCAGCTAAAATGACACAGAATTTCTCAATGATGCTTGCCTAAAGTTATTTCAAAAGCATTATATAACACATGATAATCTTTTTATCATAATACATGAAGAAGTCTGCATAGTGTCTTCATATTTTTCCTCTCCAAATTTATAAAATGGTATGAAAGTCCAATTCTTAACATTACTTGAAAATGATAAAAATTTTAACTTTTTAAACAAATACAAGCCACCTAAAACAGTTGAAAAGTAATAGAAATTAAATGCTGCTATTGGAAGTTGTAGAGACATATTGATTTAAGAGGTGAGATCCTGAACTAGTAGGATTGCTTAAACATACATAACATTAACATTCCCCTGAAACACTTACATTTGTAAACTAAATGGAACAGACAGTATGCTAAATTTTTCAACTTCAAAATCAACACCAATAGTGGCTTTGTAATCTCTGTCAAATGTGTCATGGCAAAATCTGAAAACATTAAACTTAGGTATACATATATATTCTTTAAGTAGTCTATGATCATGAAAATTAAAGAAAATGTGCAAATATAGTTATCAATATTAATATGGTAATGATAATGATTAAAAAATGTGATAACATCAATTCAAACAGGAGAAAGGCATGTATTACATCATTTTGTTTCATAATTTTAACTAAAATGCATTAAAATACAAGATGCCTTGAAAATTAAAATGTATTCAAATACATTTTAAATAAAAGGGTTTACAATCATGACAATGACCATAAAAAACACATTCAAAGAAGCGAGAGAAAAAAAGTTATATATGTACCTATTAACTAGGCATGTTTTCCCAACAGCGACATCACCAACTATCACTGCTTTGGATATTTTCAGTCTGAGAATAAATAAAGAAATAAAATTCAGTTTCTTATGAGTTAGTGTTGACCATTTATGCCATACATTCATACACATCACAACACACATATTTGACCTTTATAAAATTGAGGTTGTTTATTAAGTTTATACTGTAAAAGAGATAAAATCGATATTAACATGCTAAATACTTGTAAGTATATCACTCACAAATTTTCTGTAATTTCTTTCTTCTTCAATCATTATCTTCAATACTATTATTATAACTACCATGATCATCATATTTTCAAAAATCATTAAGTTTGCTTGAAATGATGTAAATTATATACCACAATTAAATTTGAATAATACTTTTTAAAATCTTTTAGACAGTAATATAATAAAGTAATTCATAAAGCATTTCATAATGAGTACATCAAATAATTCACTTAGGAGTGTGCAAACAAACAAAAAAAACTGCAATCTTACATACCCAACTTTGCTGACCCTGTTTTCAGTGCAAGCAGACTTCACCTTGGGGTGAAAATCTAATTTACTGCTATAAGGACCCACAGGACAACATGGCTGAAATAAAACAGAAGAGGAAGTTGTTCTGTGTTGAAAAACATAATCAAGTATAATGGATCCAACACAACGCAGACTATTTGTTTTAAATAACAATGAGCAAACAGAGAGAAGGATGCCTTAAAATGATATATCATTATCACTGAGAGATAAAATCAACTTTGTTTTAAAATCAACCTGTTGCTACATAAGTAATAAGTACAGTATATGAAGAAGCCACTATCAAAAGCCACAAGTAAAATACTTTGATATCTAAGTTAACCATTTTAACTACAAGAACTTATGGCCCATAGTGTTTCATTGGTGAGCATCACCTGCAATACAGTTTACTCAAGACGCAACTTGTTAACCAGCACCAATTTATTTCCAATAAGCTATAAACCTAAGACCAGAGACTTACCTTCTGAAATCTGGTAATAATTCTGTCTTTGGCAACATTGGATATGACAACCCTCCCTGGGGTCTGACTTCCCCGGGGCATAGCAACTGCTACCTAGAACACACATTGGCTTTATTATATATTGGTAAGCAATAAAATTATTTCAATCTATCTCGAATAATTGTCTTTTTCCAGTAATGAAAAGGATTAACATTTGATTAATAGCAGTGTTGGTTTTCCAGATTTCTTCAACAAGCTATATGCAGCTTTTAGATGTGTTCTTGTCGTCTCATGAAGGTAAACTATTAAAACATAGTAAAATGCAGCACTTCTCATACTGTAGATCGCAAGAAAAAGAGTAAACATTCTAGTGAACACTTTTTTTTCTAATTCATTAAGTAAGTGTGTCTTTTGGTTTTCTTAGTCTTTGGTCCTAGAAATGTGTCAACCTGAGAGTAGGGGGTTTAAGGAATTCCGGAAGTTTTAGTGCAAAAATATGCCAAAAATACTTATTAAAAAATCTGAAAAGTAAAGACATGGAAGTGACAGGACACACCATAAACTTTCGTGTACAGATTTATGCAGAGTTATGTGTTGTTCTGTTCCAAATTTTCACTGGTGATAAAAAACACTCACGTAGAAAAAATCTGATGTCTAGACAAGTAAGAGTAAATCGATAATCTCATAATGAACTCGTTTTCCATACATTTTTAGGATCTGGAAAACATCAGTGGAGACCCGACAGCCGTGGTGTGCATTAAGCAATAAGCGCAAAAGAATGTCTTTTCGAATGATTAATGCAAATGTAAAAGTTTGATAATAAAGAGAACATACCTGCGTGTCCTGTTTAGAGTCGCCTGCCAAAGATAAATGCTCAAAGATAAATGCTCACCTCTGACAGCACAAGTCTCACAACCCGGAAGTAATTCCAAGGGTAAAATTAGATTAGCACATGCGCAATTTAAAATCACGAGCTTCCGGGCACCTTGAATTGACTGGGTTAAACCTTTCGAACTTCCTCTTTTAGCTAACATGGCTCCGAAGAAGAAGCCATCAGAGGGTATGAATGACTTTATTGGCTAATTTAAAAGTTTATTGTGAATAAAACATGTGGTGAACAAGTCCCCAAATAGAGACCCTGAAAGGGTTCCTGTTACTGTCATTTAACTGCAATTTTCGTGCTCAAAAGGTTCAAAAAAGCGACTTTCACGTCCCATACACAATCTTTGTCACTTGCAACTTGTGATTCTACTTTGTTCCGACCCCTTTCCCAATGTGATCTTGTAGCTGTAGTCGAGCAGTAAGTTAGATCGGCCTTGTCAGTAATGAAAATATGTCATTTTTCTGTCATAATGATATTCTAAGTGCGCCCGTCAGTAATCCCAATATCGTGCTTAAAGTCGCCATAATCGTATTCATGTGGGTTTTTGCATCGAGTCACGCTTTTCAGCAAAAATTCTAGACATATTCCACTGCAACACTGTATTAAACGCCAGTAAATAAATTTGTATTTTGAGTGTTTAAACACAATTTACAGGGTCAAAGGTCAAGAAGGATGCCCCCAAGGCTGACCAGCCGAAGGAAAAGGCACTAAAGGCCAAGAAGGCCGTTTTGAAGGGTGGTCGAGATAAGAGGAATAAGAAGATCAGAACCACAGTGCAGTTCAGGAGGCCTAAGACCCTGAAGTTGCCCAGGGCTCCCAAGTACCCCAGGAAAAGCACACCAAGAAGGAACAGGTTAGAATTCTTATTCTAATCCGTTGATAGCCTGCTAAATGTCAGTTGAGAAAAAACAGCTACAGAAAGTGATTTTACACTTGTAGATAGAAATTATTTATGAAAAAATTGTCAAATGATACTCTCTGAGTAGCCAGTCTGGTACTTGTTTGCTTCAATTTTTCAGTAATTAAACTTTTTGTAACCTTAAGTCATGGAATATTCTGGATTTTATTTAGCCAGAATGAATTGTGTGAGACTTTGGAGGTTGCATATGTGCAAGTGGATTTTGTATTTTAAATTTTCACTTGGCATATATAAATGCTATCGTTTTCTTTTTACAGACTAGACCAGTACAAGATCCTCAAGTACCCCCTGACCACTGAGTCTGCAATGAAGAAGATTGAAGATAACAACACACTTGTTTTTATTGTGGATAAGAAGGCCAACAAACCACAAATCAAGATTGCAGTCAAAAAATTGTATGACATTGATGTGTCTAAAGTAAATTCATTGATCAGGTAAGTCATTATTGTAAACGCAATCTAAAAAGTATTGTTACAGTCCAGTGATATAGTTAAAGTATTGTGTGATGATGGAATTTTAAAAATAACTTTGAATTTTTTGCGTTCGCAAGTGATTCAATTTGTCAGGTAACTTCCTTTAAGTTTTATTTATGTCATACCCTCAAAAACGCATTCATGTAAGTGTTGTGTTTTCATACTATCTAAAATGCATTAAAATACTGACTTGGATTAAGGACAGCTTTAATATATCCCTGATTTTTTGGTTCGATTTTTGACAACTCAAATATATTTTCTATTGTAGGCCTGATGGGGAAAAGAAGGCATACGTAAGGCTGGCCCCAGATTATGATGCATTGGATGTAGCAAACAAGGTAAGATGCAGCATACATGATATTAGAAAAGAAAATTATTAAATAAAAACAAATTAAATGTGTTAAGTAGTTTATTGAAGTAAAAATAAATCACCCTTAAGCATAAAGATGGGGGGAGGGTTGATTTTTGAATAATCAAAGTTAGTCCAACTTTACTGTTGAAGGGCTTTGTTTCTTACAATTTCCTTTTTCATTTCAGATTGGTATAATCTAAGAAGTCATCCTTTTCATTGAGAATTCTGTTCATAAAAAACTTTACAAATAAAAATGTCATATTTACATGAAGTGAAAAAAGTAGTGTTTGTCAGTTGCTTTGAATTTCAAGACAAGCCGTTTTAGAATATTACATCAGGCGGTAGAGGTGCTGGATTGTGTGGACGAGACACACTGGCATGCATGGTTTTGGCTGTACATGAATGGTTTAAAACCAGAGGATGTATCTTTCATGTAAGTGAAGGTCGTATTCTGCACAGAAAGGGGTTATGTGGTAATATTTCAGAAGAGCAAAAGTCAACAGTACATAAACCTCTACAAAAAAGTTTTTTTTTAATAATGAAAATTATTAAATGAAAGAAATGGGTAACCATTCAGACAAACTGAATTATTTTTATTACATAGAATTATACATTGCAAATATCCAATAATAATTGTGTAACCTGCACTATTCTTTTCCTTTAACAATTCCTCTGTAGAAGAGAGGTACTTGATGATGGTATGTTCAAGTACAAAGCATAAACGGATTCTACTACACAGAGCACTGAAATTCCTCTTACCAATACTTAAAATGAAATAGCTCAATTATGTTCATGCTGGTTTCCTTTAATCAAGTCTTCTGCACCATGTGCAAACTGGCAGTGTTCTCTCGTCTTTGGGCAGCCATCTGGATGATTATCATAAAACCAACACAATTTGGTTTTCACTGGTTTTTGTTTCAAGTAATTTTGTTTGATCTTCTGTTTTTTACGTGGAGGTACATTATTTGGTAAATTGTCTTTGTCTTGATCTTCATATCTGAGCCTTACAGCTCCCCCACTTACTGGAATGGAATTGATAATCAAAAGTTAAATCTTCATGTCTTGGTTAAAAGATTTCAAAGTCAAAATGGTGCAAGGCTAAATAATTAGTGTGCATATTTACAACTCGTGTTGACTGCTCACAATGCCAGTTTGAACATCCAACCCAAAAGTTTTATCAATATTTTAAAATCTAAAGTAAAATCATTTTCCTTTAGAAGAAAAAAAAAGTATTTCCCCTATATTTTGGATCTAAAGTACTCGTATCTATACCTTGAAAGATGTTATGATGATTTCTCAGCAGTGTTTGCACTCCACCACATTCACTTTTAAGCCTCTTCAGTATGTCACTGTCCAGTAAACTGACAATATTGGAGAGTGGGACCACGCCTACAACAATAAAACAAACTTATTTTTACTTCATTGATATTTTTCATATTTCCAATAGTTATTATAAATTTCTCATGTAATTGTTTAAGTCAACATCATTATATTTTTAAAACAAATTTGAAATTATTCTCTAACAGTGCAATTTCAATATTATTTGAATTAAGACGTTATTTTCTTCCATAAAGTACCTCCTTTACACCAGTTACGACCATCTTCAGTACACATCAAAACGGTGTCTTCTGCATTCAGCACAGCATCAAACACCCTCTGGACAACCTCAGATGTCAGATCACGAGGCAACTGGGTACAGTTTCGAACTTTCTCTACTTTTGCCCTTGGTTGAAAAGAGTGTGCCCAAGCTTTATCAGTCGTATTTGTCTGTAATTTATCATTTGTATTTGTAGTCTGTAATTGTCCATCTCCTGTCCTATTAACACTGACAGCATGCTCATTATCAGAGTCCAATGGAGTTTCATGACTATGACCTGTCAATTGTATTGGGCAGTGGTTGTCGGCCATATTTTTGCACCTGGACTTTATGTATTCAGTTCTTCTCTGATCTACCATTGCCTCTTCTGATGGTGTGTAACTTCTGCTTTTCCCTATCAGACATATCTGAAAAAAAAAATAGCACTTACACTAACATGTGGCTCTTAAAGAGAGAAATGTTTGTTTCCTGTAAATGAGATATATTACTTACCAGTCCATTATAATTTACAGATTTGATCCTCTGTAGTTTTGCTTTCCATGAAACAAAATTTAAGAATGATTGACTGTTCTAATTCTTGTACCTCTACAACACTTTGGTGCCAAATTTTTTTGTAGAAGTTTGACTTCAACTCACACGTTTAGTGGATGGTATTCTTAGTGCATCTTCTAACACGTCAAAACCACACACTTCACATACAGTCTTGATGAAATCCAGGTAGGTCCTATACTGGCTCTCTCCTGCATTCTTACCACTGAACTTGCTGTCAAAGTCATGATGACAACATGGTAGCACAAAAAATCTGGTGTTATAGGAGGACCTGAAAATTGTATTGAATTTCATAAAACTTTGTTTAAATTCTAAAATTTAAATGATGTTAATATCTAATTCACATTAATTCACATGAGAATTGTGTCAAGCAATAAAAAAATTCCAACAACAAATAATAGTGTTATGGGCCAAATAAAAGATATTATCAACAGACATACCAAACATAGAACTATGCATATAAGGTGTGCTAACCTTGCTGCCATTACTGGTATCCATGGCGTCAACTCATCACTATGGTTACCAATAAGCCAATCTGTGTTGGAAAAAAGATTGGTATCTGAGGGTATGATTGGTGCTTCCTGAAATAATAAACAATGTCAATAACTAAATGTAATCAATACCCTAATCCCCTCTACTCCTTGGTTTTAGAAGAAATGCAAACCTCAATGAATGGTCTCCAAGGCAAAAGCTTTGTAAACACAAAATTGATTTCGTTACATTAATATGTCATGGTTATAAAGAGGTATGAAATATCTCCAACTACCAGATTCAGGGTTTGATTTAAATAAGTACCTATCAAATTTTTCAAATACATAAGGAATAGCAAAAGAGCAGGCTAGACCATTCCATTACAAATTGCCACATCTCACTTGTACATGCCTAAGGAGGTAACATAATGAAAAGAAAAATCTTTCAAACTTGACAAGAATACCTACTCTGAGGTCAATGCTATCTCCATACATATCCCAGATGTTCCTCTTCCTGACATCTATCCCAAAACCTGGGTGCTGGAAGGTGATTACATGTGGGGAGTACATGCTGATATATTGTGACAGTTGTGCATAATGCAATGTTCAAAATTATGGTAGATAAAATGTCTTCAAATAAAACACGAGAGTTTTAGAGAGAGCGAAAACTGAAGGGACTGAAGCCAACAAGCTTGTCTATTTTCTTACTCTGAAGTTGGATTCCATCAGCTCAAAATAAACAGGTTTATATTTCCCTTAAAGACCTCTGTTGTGTCAATTGTGTAACATTTTCTTTCTAACTTTGGAGCAATGTTCTCTTACCCCTTCTTGCCTCAAGATATGTACCAATAGCCCATTACCACAACCAAGATCTGCAAAAGACTGCTTCTTCTCAAGTCCCAGGTCTACACGTTCTCTTTCCCAGGTGACCTAAAACACAAAAGTAGTGATTTTTTGTAAAGAAGAGCAAGTAAAAGGTAAAAAGAAATGCTGCAGTATGATCATTATGGCAGTTAAAGGAATGTGCTCTTTTTTTAATCACCATGTTGTGGTTTTACGTGAGTATTCAAAAAGAGCATAAAATGATGGTAAGCAGCTACTAGTACATAATTTTAAATTAAAAAGGAAAATTAAAACATTAAATCTTGGATAGCTTTGACATTCTCTCCACTTTGAATCAACTTAACTGTCTGACTCTCTGATGTGATTCAGTATATAATCTACACACGTTATTTCATTTTGAAACAACTAAATTCTTTGACTCTCTGGAATGTGATTCCTTATTCAATGTATACAAATTTTATTACATTACCAGTAAATATGTTGCAATGGCTACATCTTCAAAGACAAATTTTTGGGGGTCTGTCCTTTCAGGCCACTTCTAAAAATTAACAAACAGTTGATGACAGTTTGAACTTAAAGATAATATTTTCCCTTTTAAGTAATTTTATAATTTTATAGGAAGTATAAAATAAATAATAAATACATTTTTATGTCCTTTATATCTGTTTTATAATTAATGAAAATTTTATTATCACTATTCAGAAAATTCTGATCCTGATAAATGTAACAGTCCCAAATAAATATCATCATGTTCATCATATTCCAAAAAAAGAGAAATTAATACAATGATTTATTATGTTTTTATGCAGGCCCATAGCCAGCAATTTCATAAGGGGGGTTCATTTTTTGGGAAAAGTGGACCTTTTACAATGAAACTTCTGTGTACCTAGATCAAATTTTACCTAGAATGGGCCTTTTCCTGACAAAAAGGATGGTTCTTTCGGCTACTGGCCTTAAATATGTAACACTCAATAGCTAATTACTGACACGGTTTGTTTCTTATCCTTGCCTCAACTCGTTCTCTCCCATATTTTTCCTTCAGATGCTGGTACAAATCATTGTACGCATCAATTGGCAAAAGTTGTAATGATGAAATGTTGGGTTTTCTAAGAGGTGGGTCCTCCATCCATTTAGCCATCTTGTGTAGCAGGACATCACACAGCCACTGTTCACTGCTGTCACTGGGAGGCATGTCTGGATCCACACACACATTCAGCTTTAACCTACAAGTACATTTAAGAAAATAATAAAATGTTTAGAAGAAATTATCAGGTTACTCAGAGAATAAAACATGTCAAGATAACCTGCGTCTCACTTAAACTGTAGCATATCAATAAATTTATATATAATTTACCAGTATTTATGACTACTTGCTGCTGGTCTCCAAGTTTGATGAGAACATGACAAATCCAGAAACCAGGGTAGCTCTAAAACTGCAATTTTTTTATTAAAAAATAAATTTAAAAAGGAACACTTAATAATGTTCTGAATGAGCATATATACATGTACTTACTGACATTTTCCATCTTCTACACACAGTTTTACTTCATATACAAGATCCTGGCACTCACTACTGCTGGACTGAATGCCTTCCTTCTTGTAATGCCATAGAGGGAGAACGACCAAGCTGGAACCCAACCTGTCTGAAATCAATTATCAAAAATATTTCTGTAAATAGAGGCTAAAGACCGAGACTGTTACAGGTAGCGTAGAGAAGTACAATGAAGCATGTTAATTAGCTAATCTCCCAGACAGACAAATAAATAATAAACATGTACCCCCCCCCCCCCCCCCCCCACCAAAAAAAAATTATAATAATAATAACAATTATAACAGGAAGAAAGAAAGAAATTCTTTACCAACATAAATGCACTAGGTAATTCCCTTTCTTATATGCCATTTCCACCTGCTATTTTGGTAATTGTAATTTCCAAATTTTCCTTACAGTATCCAGATTCTGATTGGGGGTGGGGGGGGGGGCTGTTAGAGGTTGTGATAAATCTACAGTACTAGTGCTCACATACAAGTTAACTAAACTCATGAAAGTTTATACAACTGGATTACCTAAGACAACGAGCTGTCTTATTACAGGAAACTTGTTAGTATTCCTTGGCAACAAATCCTGTAGTATGATTTCGTTTGTCATACATGCAACAAAGTGTGAGGTATCATCGCGATCACGAGCACCTGAATGAGGCTGGGCCAATTTACTCTTCACACAATCGGCCCAAAGTTCGTTCTTGAATTGAAATGGTGTTGATTTCTCGGCTATAATTGTTCTGTTTTGAAAAAGAATGTCTCTGATGTCAAATCTTAGTTGTGATAGTTTTTCAAATGAAGCAAGTTGTACAGCCCCACATAGCCTTCTGTTCACTACCTGTGGTTTTTCTATGTACACACGTGCAGCTCTGATAAATGAGTCTACAAAGTCATCGTTTGAACAATGTACATCCAAAGAATTTGCTTCTTTCCACTTTGATTGTATTGGCGATACATACGTTGAGTTATCCATAGTATAATGTAACAAACACAATGTGACACGATACAATTATTCTGCGATTACCCTTCCATGGACCAACATGTCTCAGTACGTGTTGATGTTCAAATGCGATAGTTGTACTTTTAGGCACAACCAGCACAATTTGCTTTGAGCAAAGACAAATTTTTCTTGTCATTATTTTTCATATATATTATTTTTATACTATTTTTACTTGACTGATGTCATCAAAAACTATTTGGATTATATAATTTGTTGATATATTTAATTTTATGCTCTAAAAACAAATATGTGGGAGTTCTCGTTACTTGGTGAAGGCGCCATATTTGATATATTGTGCAGACGACGAACATGTGTTTATTTCCTGGTATTACATGTCTGGCCATTTTCCTGCCATATTTCTGGCTTCTTTGTATGCCATTATATGGCTCATTTAGTGGAACTGAACCTGTCGTCAGATTTTCATTGATGATGCAATTTCAAGCAATAATTATGTCTGCATTTCCAGTTGGTTTGGTAAGAAAGTAGGGAAGACGACACAGGTCTTAGACAAAGTAAAAGTAATAAAAGTAGTGATAATTTTTTTGTTTCCGTATCTATCTCATATAAGTGATATAGGTTCATGAGAAAACAGGATGAGGTGTTGAGGGTGTATTAGTGCCACACAAAACATTGTTCTTATTTTAAAAATTCGTGTGAATTAAAGCACCCTGAAAATGAAGGTACTGTAGCATTTACACAGCCCAATTTTTCATGAACACTTACTGGTACATGGCATAAAATATATATTATACATATATTACAGGAAAGTAGGGAAATCTTGTGTTTTTATTGAAGTATTCCGTTTGTAATGAAGTGATATGTACAAAGCTTCTCTCTCTCTCTCTCTCTCTCTCTCTCTCTCTCTCTCTCTCTCTCTCTCTCCTCCCCCACCCCAGTCCCCCCCCAGCTATCACCAGTATAGCTGGTACTGTTATGCCTTGGTTCGTTACTGATCTGAAAACAAGTTCTCAATTTAAAATATTCTTCCATCTTTCAGTTTCCAAAACTTTGTCACTACCAGTATGTCATGCTACCGTAAATTATCAGAAATGTTATGGTGTAATCAGTACCAGTATTTACCGTAGTTTTGTCTTTTAAGACATCATCAGCTTGTGTAAATTTTTGTCAGGTACATGTATATTATTTATGTATATATACCTGGTACACTATACTGAAAATAATATCCACAGTTATGATGACCTTGGTATATTTAATTTGCAGGTCTCATTTATTCCCTGCTTAGAACTGGTGACACTATGTGTACTGATGTGCCTTCCAGTCAGCCTTACCCCATTCCCAGTGGTGTGGCTATATGATAAACTCCTGTGGCTCAGTGAACCGGTATGGATGCTGACAGAAGTATTGATACCTCTAGAATGGGCAATGGCCATGAGTCAGAAGGCTGTGGACAGACTGGATGAGGAACCCACAAACCTGGCAAAGGTTTCTTTTTTTAATGTGTTGAACTGTTGTATGATTCTATAGTAAAGTAGTGATGTTTATATTTTTGAATTAAAAAATTCTAGTACCTCCCAGCCTACCACCTGTGTTGTTGTTGTGCGTAATTAAATATTGGATAGGTAAAAAGACTAAAACATTTTAGTTTCTCAAAAACAATTCACTGCATTCCAATGAAATTTCACCTAACATTACTGTATAAATTTCACTCTGGCTCTCAATTAGATACATTCATTATGGTTTTTGTTACATCCCTGTGGGATTCAATCCAAAACATGAAAGTTTGAGTTAAGCCTGTTACATGTATATTGTCATCTGCACATTTTGAGAAAATGAGCAATAGAGTTGTGTCATTTAAACCAGAAATTTATGCACTCTCTGTTCGCATGTCACCAGCATGTTGGTGGTACAAAATAATGTGACATGTAGGTTTTAACTCTTTTATTACTGTTTAGAAGTTAAACTGATATTATCTCATTATAACATGTCTTATTGTATCACTGCAAGACCCAATCTTTTTAATGAAATATTTAACTGAAGCACTCATTTAGTAAATATATAGTTTTCCTCTGTTAAATGCCCCATTAATAAGATGAAATGAAATTCTGCATCCTACTTTGCAAGGTCATTTGTTCATCTTTTCTTAGTTTCTACATGAGGTCCTCTTTTTTGTTTATTTCTTAGGGAATGATACTAGGTTTGTCAACACTTTGCTATGCTGTGATGTTATATTTTGGTATAGAACTATATAGGTTATATAGTGATTCAACCCTAACTGTATGGTGAGTTCAACAAGAAAAAAAAAAAACAGGTTGTCTAAATGTATTATACTTAAGCAGGTGATTGATATATTATTTTTATTATCTTAAATGTAGATTTCCAGTAATCTTTCCTTTTGTGCAATCAAGTATATTATTAAGTGAAAATGTTACAATCAAATAATTTATTGTAGTTAATATCTTTAAAATGATTTTCCATCTTTCTTTCAGCATGCTATGTATTCTTTTGGCACTGTCTGTTCTCTGCCATATTATGATGTGGAAAGTTGATGAAGGTAGGTAAAAGAGATATCTCTCTGAGATGAAAATATTTTTTCAATGTGTGAAAAGGTACCTTTTTTTTTTACTTCGATTGACCGAATCAAATGTATTTTTCAGTGATTAGGAATTCTGATTATCAAGCCCATACATTTGCATTATATTGTGTGCTTATGATGCAAACTGTTCTTCTTTTTAAGTGTAGATGTCAAATTGATAGTTAATTATTTTTCAAAATTAATTTAAGAGCATAGCTTATTTGCATGATATTCACAAATCAGTTTCAGATCTCTTTAAATTTAGCAAAATTTTAAAAAACTGCCAGTGGGCTTTTCATGTTAAAAGATAATATTATGATTTCTAATAAAATATATTCTTGTCTGGTGTTATAATTCATAAAAAAAGTTGTTGTTTTTTTCAGGCATAATTGTTGATGCTGCATTTGTGAGTGTATTCAGCATGCTATTCCTGTACTGCTATCACATAGAAAGGGTAATACTGCAAAACCCACTACCAAAACCTGATACTTGGAAAAGGTACAATTCTACATAATTTTCCTAAAAAATAAAGTATAGTAATGTAACTTTTCCACCATTAAGCTTGCTGTTTGTCTTATTCCTTGATATGTAGAACTGAATTATGGGGTTATTGGCTGTGCAAATTTTCTCTAGCACTTCTGACTTGCATATTTCTTCTGCCGTTAAGATTGAGGACACTGCTTCCAGGTGATTAATGTCACCTGTTGCAGGAGATCCTTAAGACATATCATCTGCATTTTCATGTGTATCCTGGTTTGCTGTGTCTTGCAAATTACTGCATTCATATCGCATCACCTCTGCCTAGGAACAAGAAAAGCCGTGCTCGTGTAGTGTGTCAATCAAAAAAACAAGATGCAAAATGATGGTGCATTTGCACGCCTAAACCTAGCTGGAGCAGTGTTAGTATAGCCCGCGGTCTGATTGCTTTCATAATGCACTGTCCCACAAAAGCTAGTTTTACATCAATGTCTTTGCTTGCAAACATTGTCCTCAAGAGAACTTGGAGATACATCACTAGTCTCTGCTGACAACTTTAATGGAATGTTTTTGCCAGTTCTGAAATTACTTGAACATTGCTGATGGTAAACAGTATCTGCTGCGTGAAGGTCAATAATAAAAGCCAGTCTTCCCAACACTGCTTCAGACTATTCACCATTCCTAGAATGGCAAATCTTTCTTATAGTGTCCTGATAGTCACCTATTCTGACTCTAAATACACCAATGTCTTTTCTCTTCTTATCAACCTGTGATGGTTGGCCACAGAATAAGCAGTGTCCTTTGAAGTGCAACTTTTTCTCAGAACGGAGGCCAGGACCGGATTCTGTCGTTTCTTCTGACGTAACCTTGTTCCTTGCAATGTTGTTGGGTTTGCAGTATGTACGTTGACGCTCTGCATGAACCTGATCTCCAGGAGCAGTCTTCATATCATTACCGCACTGTACGATGAACCCCTTTACTCCCTTTTGATCTGAGAGTTAAAATTTCTTCTCCTTCAGAGATTGGTTTTTCACATATGCAGCATTTATTCATAGTTGGTAATCCTGCTGAAAAGTTTAAAGTTTAGTCTGTAAAAAAGATCAAAGAATATCTTTAAAGATATGAATGACATTTTTATATCCAATAAAAAGCAGGACAAAGAAATCTAATCAAAAATATGTGATAAAAATCAAAATAGTTGTTTTTCTCAATACGTATAAAAACAGAGAGTTTGATATATTAGCTTGACATGTACCCTATGTTCTCTAATTTATGTGCTCTTACAGCAAAAGATCCAACTGTCCACTTATTTAATAAAGCTGTATTTCAACAATATTTCAACTTGGATGAGGAATTTTGAACTTCAAGTAAACTAACGCTCATCAACATTACATTACACATGCTAAATTACCAGATGATGCAGGAATGTCTATCTGTGAGTGGCAATGGTAGATGCACTATGACCACTTACTGCTAACATACTTAATTACTTATGATATAAATTTATATTTTTTAATAATCTATTCAGTGTCCACTGTTGGTGCATTCCCTTAAGAAATTTTCTTTTAAATAAATATGTTAAATGCATGGAGTGATTTCCCGTACAAAATGTCAATATCAGGAATCTTGACCATTTTCAACTAAAGGAGTAGGGGTAGAAATTGATACATTTTGTAAGATATATTTTGAATCTATAAATGGATTCTTAAAAATGATAGTATTATCACACAGCTACAACATGTACATGGTATACAAACTGAGACTATGTCTTCAAGATCAATTTACCAGTAGGGCCTACCCAAAGATATAAATGAAGTGGCAGCAGTGAAAAACGCATTTTTCTTCTTTTTCCAGCTAGACAGCACAAAATAAAGAAATAGATCAATTTTCAGATATGCATTTTACCCTATATTGTCTGGCTATTAAAAACATGTGCCAAAAAAATTACCCAGGTCCTGTGTAAATTCAATAAAATAACATTGTTTGCAAATAAAACTGTAAAATTCCATTATTTTAGGGGGTGGGGGTTCACAATGAAAGTAATA